TCCTGTCTTCTGCAAATGCCCTTTAAACTCCAGGGGCAATGCCGACCTGCTAAACCTGGTTGCTGCCAAATGTAGTCCACCCAGGCTCTGGGATCTGTACCTTGGAGCTGGAAGCACATAGAAATCCATCTCTAGTTCAGCTAAATGGCTTCAGGTGCAGCAGGGTAAGTTTTCTGCATGAGAAACACAGCTACTTGCCTGAAACGGTAAAGAAAAAAAATAATCCTGCAGCTGCTTTGGTAAAAGCCTCGTGTTTTTGCAGGGGGCCCTCCCATGCCATCCAATTTTATATTTTCCCCTGAGTTCTATGTGTCTTTCAGTGAGTAACACTCATTTTCTTATGGTAGTTCTGGAGCAATTAATGACATGACTTAGGATTGAAGGGGATGGCTGAGATGGCACAGCAAAGATGAGCCAAAGTCCATCAGCCAAGCAGGCTGAGGCTTTCTGGGTCTGGGCTAGGCTTCCAGACACATCCTTGGTGTGTGCTCACACGAACTGGGGGAGTGGAGGCTACTTTTGATCCGAGGCAGCCTCTGGATGTTTGACTTTGAGTGGGAGAGGCTCCTGGCTGGGCTGTGCAGCTGCTGCTCGGGCATTGCAGACAGCTGGGCTGGCAAGAGGGGCTCGGCTTCCCTCTGGCTTACAGGGGTCCCAGCTCACAGTGAGCAGGCTCTCAGTTTGGCCTTCCTTCAGACTCTGCTATTTTTACCCTGCTCTGCTCCAAGGTGTATTTGCCAGCTGCCAGCTCCCCGAGGTTTGTCTCCTCAATTCCTCTCAGCAGAGCCTGGGCAGCAGCAAAGCCAAAGCCCAGCCCTGTGGTACAAACTGGGCAGCACCAGGACAGCAGAGTGGGTTTAAACAGCAGGCACAAAGCAGGCACTTAAAGTGTTTTACCAACCACTTCCCTCCCTCAGGGCATGCAGATGTTTCTGGCTCCAGGAAAAACAGAGGGGAAACCTCCCTGCCTGGTGATGGAGTGGTGGGGCTGGAAAACCTCACCTGGGGACACCTGGCAAAGGTTCAGGAGTTGGGCCCTGCAGGAGAGGACAGCATGAGGGTCAAACCCTGGGCAGTGGTAGTGTGGAAATCTGCCCAAAGCATCAGGCTGCAAGTATTTTACACAGTCTCTTTTGGGAACAAGGTTTGGTCCAGAGCACACTGGCGCTCCAGCGTGGATCCTGTGTTGGCATTCATTGTGTTTGGGAGGTCTGTGCCTCTGGTGGGCACAGAGGAGGGGCTGCAGCAGGGAACGGGAATTTTGCACCAGCTGGGGAGAGATGGCGAGTAAAGACCATGGTCCAGCCAAAATATCCTCTGTTTAACTGCTGGGGAGGAGAAGTGAAACAGAAAACTGGATTTGCCCAGTTTGTTCATTCCTACCACCAACAAGGAACGTGTGGCTCTGCAAAAGGTTGCTGGAAGGTTTAGTGCATATTTATGTGTGTCATAGCTGGGGAGAAAGGAGATTTCTTAACACTGGTGGTTCTTCTGTGTGTTAGCATGGCCTGCTTTCCTTTGTCTGAGCTCTGGGAAATGGGAGGAGGAACTGAAAGAGGAAATGCAGTGTTCAAGTAGCCCAAGTATTTCTTTTTTATTTCCATCCTGAATCAGTTTTGGGCACTTCTTCTGAATGTCTGTGGTTTCCCTTCTGTTGTTTTGAGGCTGAAAGACCTGAGAAAAAGGAGCAGGTCCCCAGCCAAAGCCATCACCTGCAGCCCAGGAACTCCCTAAAAATGTGACTGTGGCTTAAGCAGTGCATTTTATTTCTGTGGGTAGTATAACAAAACACAAAATCTGTGAGACTCACAGTATTGTGGGATTTCTTTCTCTCGGGTTTGGGGCTTTTGACTTTTTTTTAATCAGCTAGACATGATTCCTGTAACAAACACCCATGCAGCTAGTGAAGAGAAAAGGGAAAGGCTGTGAAATGTCTGAGCTCCTCTATCTGCATAATAATAGCAGAGACAGCACAGGGATGCTGTGTCTCCTCAGTAGATAAATTCCCTTTCTCTGGTGGCTGCTTAGAGCACATTCATTCAGGGAAAGAGAAGGTGTGGTTGAAACGATAATGGGAGTTTATACAGCAAAGCCCAGCTATCACTTTGTCACCAGGGGTGGCACTTCCTACTGTGCTCCCACCTGCCCCTGCAGCATAAATTCTTCTACCAAAATCCAGGCACACTCCAGAAAGGTGGCTTTGCAGTGAAGAGTTTGATATTGCACATTAATAGCATCAAACGATGATGTACTCGATTCCTGGGACAGCAAATGCTGGAGAAGAGAGCAGGGGAGCAAAAAACTCAAGTGGAACACAGCTTTTTTTAGATGCTTCTAAGGTTTGGATTGTTTTCAATAGCCCTACTTAAAAAAAAAGGCATTTTACAGCAGTTACTATAAGGCAGTTAATACAAAAATTAATTAAAAAACTCTAATTAATGAAAATGGCTTAAATTAAACCTGGAGAGTAGGTGACCACGGGGAGAGTATTCTGACATGTTACCTAGATCAAACTTTTTTTGTTTGTGTGTTGTCAGAGCCAGGGATTTAAATCCAACTGTCAGCTGTCAGTGCCACAACAAAGCAGCAGCTATTTGTGTTCAGGTCCTCATGTCTGTCCCTCCTCCTGGCCCAGAAAGTGGCCTGAGACTCCCAACATCTCTTACCAAAAACTTCCCCTCAACCTCTTCATTCCAAGCCTGCTCTGCCTTTAGTGCCGAGGGTTTTTTTTTGTTGGTTGTGAAAGACTCAACAGTGAGGCAGAAAGCTCGTTCCAGCACAGCGAGTTTCCCTCTCTTCAGATGACTTTTCAGTTCTTTATAACATCCTACTGATTCCTCATTATCCTTCCAAATAAACACCAGTGATGGAATTGCACTTAAGGATGAAATGGCGAATTCCAATTTGAGAGGAGCTCGAGGCTCTGCACAATTCAGCTGTTCAGAGAAGACAGTTAAAGTTCTGACTGGGAAATTCAAACCATTACATGCTTTACACACGAATGCCCACACATACCTGATGTATCAGTGTGTTTTCCCCCCACGATGTTTTTCCATTTTCTGCACAAATTGAATTAAAGGTTGAGAATAACTTGGGTGAGAGCCACGGGGGTTTGTTTTCTTGGAAATAAATATCAAAACTTGGGTATCTTTTCCTTCCTTGTCCTTCTGTACATGTGAACAACCAGCAGATCAGGGCAGTCTCTGCTTTCTAGTCAGAATAAACAATTTAAAGGAACTGGCTGTGATGCTCCTGCTTGTTTTAGTTTGGTGATAATGGCTTGGTAATGACAGTCTGTAAGTCACTATCAGCATTTTAACATCTTCTATGGCAATTCCAGAGGTATTTAATTTGCTCCTTGGTATGTGAAAGCTGTTCCTGCTGAGCATAATGTGTTCAATATAATTCTTACTCAATTACTAGAAGCACACTGTAGAAATTCTTGAAACTTGGTAAGGGAGCTGCAACACACCCAATATGGCCATTTACCATTTCCCTTCTCATTTGTCTTGCACATTTAGCTGTTGTCACAACTGCTAGTGCAGTTTGAGAAGGGGAGTGGGTTGCAATTATTTGTAATTTTACATATTTATGTGTTTTTAAAGCTGCTTTTTGTCCTCTTTCTTTCTGCAATATGTCTCCATAAGTCTTAGCACAGTGGGATGCAATTATGGTCTCTTCCTGTTGCTAAACCCCAAAGAATTACTGAAGTGTTGCTGTAATGAAAATGATCCTTTTCCACTTCTGAGCTGACACACCTTGTTATAGAAGCTGCAGGAGAGAACTGTGGAACACGAAATAAATGACATTGCACAGGATTTCTCATCCTTAAAATCTGCCTTTAAAATTTCTGTAGTTTTGACTGGTTTGGGCACACTTCTACAGCACAGTCTGAGGCCAGTGATCTGTTACTGAAAGAATGATTTCTAATGTGAAAAAATTTTGTAAAATGGCAGGATTTCAGTTGCACACCAAGGTTTTGGGATGAGCCAGGGAGGACCAGTGCTGGACAGGAGAAGCTGAGGAAAACATGCTTGGGAAGCAGCAGGACAGGGAAGAGAAAGAACTGTTTCTGTTGAGGGAAGGAACGGGTTCCAAGAGGTGAGAATCCCCTCTGGAATCTCATTGCTGCCTGTGCTCTGCCTTGGGACCTGGGCACCCCAAGTGCATTACTGACATTCCCTGAGGAGTGGGTGGAGGGAGGCACAGCTTCAAGTATCAGCAAAGCTGCCAGCAGAAAGCAGCAGTCGTTTGCTGGTTATTTTATCTGGGTTCCTGTGTGTGTTTTATCCAGCTGGGTCAAAACCGTTCCTTTTTACCGATGTGAGAGCTGAAATTTCAGTCCTCGGTGTTGTGGGAACATCTGGAATGATTCCTGTAAAACAACAGGTGACAAAGGGCCTCCAGAGAGCACAGTGTGTTTAGGAAACCTAAATCTTTCTGGAAAATCTGTCCAAATCCTCCAGCCTGGCAGGAAAAAAAGATCTTTTTTTTTTTGTGGATTGCTGGTCCTGCCTTTTTGTACAGAGCAAGTTAAATTGTGTTTGCCTCAGGGGGGGAGGTGGACCCACCATACCAGCCACGTGGGGATGGAGTTCTTGGTGGGTGCAAGTCAAAATGGTGCTTTCTGTCTGCTCAGCTGCAGGTTCTTCTCAGCTTGCCTCGAGTCGTGGGAAGATTTTGTTTATTCCTTAGCAGCCTCTGTTCAGTGTCTCACATTTCCCTCTTAAATATCTGGTGGTAGAAACTTCTGGAAACGTGATGCAGACTAAAGGGACTGTGTATTTATTTATGCAGTGGCCTCAGCCATGTTTTTGTAGTGTGGTTTGGTTTTTTGGGGCCCTTTCCCCCTGTCTCCCATCCAAGCATCATTCTGTGTATTAAATACACTGTGGAGTGCTGGTATCTGGGGATCTCCCTGCACATGGAAAGGAAGCCACAGATTTTGGAGCTATTGAAATACAGGGAAGCTCAAATCTCTACAGCTATTCCAGACAGCCTTTGAAACACTAAAGCAAGTTTTATTACAGAGATTAGTTTACATTACACTCATTTATTAAAACCTAAGGACATCTTTATAAAAACTACTGTATATAAAGACAAGAGCAGTGCAATAGCAGTGTAAAACACATTTTTGGTTTACTTGGCAATCACTTTAGAAAGACAACATGATTCTTAATATGAAGTCAGAGAATGCTGCAAAAAATAGGACAGGATTAGATCCAAAACTAGATTAGCAAATCACTGGACACTGGCACGTATTGATTTCGAACATCAAGTGTTATGTAAACAGTATTATTGTCAATGTATTGATAAAGAGAAATCACTGCAACCCTAGAATTTCTAGTTAGCTTAATTAGCCTAAAATTTGTCTGCTGACTATTAAAATAGACTATTGTACTGTATATATTCTTAGTGATTTACTACTTTTGTAAAAGGAGGACTAGAAGAAATGCCTGTCTTGCAGAAGAGGATTGTTTGAGGCTGAGAAAAGGTGTTTCTTCCTGGCGAGTGGCTGAGGTTTTGTTTTTGCTGCTTTATACCTTTCATACACCATCACTGGTGGTGAAATGGAACTGACTCTAAAAAATCATTTTGACCTGTTGCTTCTTCAAGTGGACAGTCCTCATACAGAAATTACAGTAAAACTATAAAAAACAGTTATCTAAAAGAGCTGCTACAATATGCTGAAGTAGACATTGAGAGGCCGGATTATTTTCACTCTGTTTTTGTAAAATTGATAACCAGGCACAAAAGATGGTTAATTACAACACCAAGTCCTGCACAAGCTTTGTAACTTATCTTTTTATGTCCTACGTTATACACAGCAATTATTAAGAAGTTGGACACTGAGTTCTCAGTAAAACTCAAGAGAGAAAATGAGTTGGACAAGGAAGGAGGTTTCTGGAGCATGAAGGTCATTAATAGCCACTGAGACAGACAGCTGCCGTTGTAACATAGGCTGTAAATGTTAATTTTAGATCCCTTATTTTTCCAACCAGATCAGGATGGAACAGAGGAAAATATATCTATTTTAGTCCAGATTCTTTCTTACAGAGAAAGGTTGTGTTTGAACCGGTCTCTGCAGGAAAAAAGTGAATAGTTCATTGCAGTTTATCTGGTTCACCATGATTCTGATGAAGTAAAAGCAGGGGGGTATCAGAGCCCAGCTACAGAGATGGCTGAGGTGTTGAGGGGACTGTTTGTGTAGCCAGTGCTCTTCTACAGTGTCCCAAACACTGAGGGAGAAGGGCAGGTAGGGAATCACATGAAGTGCACTATTTCCCTGGAGTTTAAGGCCCAGCTAGCATTAGTCTTACTCAGGATCTCGTATTCTGCTAAAATAGAGAGACTATCAGGTGATTCTAACAACACACTTGGTGAACCGCAGTTCACCAGCTACAACAGGGATTTATCCATAAATTAACTGGGAGGCAAAATGAGAATTTCAGCCAGAGAGTATCTACCTTCTATTAACAGGCTCTGTATAGAGCATAAAAGAAAACAAACAAACAGAAAAGCACATCCATTACAAGGTATACGTGTACTAGAAGGAAAGCATAAAACTGCTCAGTTATAACGCACAATTCCCAGAGGGAAAAAAACCCTTACAAAATACAGTAAGTCACACAAACCAGTATCTAATACAAATTCCTCCATGAACATAAGCTTTTTACAAAGCTCTCTGTGGCAGTCTTCACCTCACAATGGTAGTAGGTGCTGGCAAAAAGGGAAAAAAAGCCAAGAGTTACTGCAAAGTGCCTAGGTGAGACTGATTACTCTAGATATGCACTTTTTTGCGTGTAGATATGTGTTTTTTTGGGTGTCTGCAGGGATTACTGTCCTTGAAGACAATGAGGGAGTGTGGAGAAGGTGTGATGTTGGCAGAGCCATGGATAGCATTGCCTCCAGCTCCGTGGTTTCCTTTGCTTTCCTTGGGAGTTGGCACTAAGAGCACCACCTTCCAGCTCACAGGATCAGCTCTCCCACCCCCGGGAGCACAGACCCTTGCCCTGCAGAATCCCTCATCCTCAAGGAGAGAGCATTTTGGACTGTCTGCCAGGATCTGCAAGGTACTTACAGCATGTCTTTGCTGAGGGTCCTTTTTGCTCCCAACCGAAGTGCTCTGGATGGTTCTGCAGTGCCCTGATGACATATTCTTTTTGGAAGGGTTTGCAGTGCCCTGATGACATATTCTTTTTGGAAGGGTTTGCAGTGCCCTGATTGACATATTCTTTTTGGAAGGGTTTGCAGTGCCCTGATTGACATATTCTTTTTGGAAGGGTTTGCAGTGCCCTGATTGACATATTCTTTTTGGAAGGGTTTGCAGTGCCCTGATTGACATATTCTTTTTGAAAAACTAGAAGAATCTCTGCGGTTTAGTGTGAATCAAGGTCTAAAAAAATACTGGCCCTGTTTTATTTGAAGTGCTGTGTCACTCCCAGTGCCAAACAGCCCAGCTGCACTGGGGCAGCTCCTCTGGGGCTCCACAAGCTGAGTTGTTCACTCAGGAGCTTCTATGATGAGTGAGAATGGGCCAGGCATCAAGCTCAGCTAGGACAGGATGGAGTCTGATGCCCCCAGGGTGGCACTCCCACCCGTGGCATTTGAATTCTTTCTCTTAGCTGTGGCCTGTCCTTGCTCAGTGACACCAGGCAAGTTTAGTACTTGGTTTGTTAAGAAAAGGGGCTTGTGCATGCTGGTATCCTGCTCAGATTTTGAAGGCTGGGCACTCTGGTGATCTCCAGCCTCGTTGGGTCCTCCAACACAACTTATTCCTGTCTGGTTTTAGTCATGTGCCATCCTGCTCTCCAGTAGCCATGAATGAGTTCAGATCACTCAGAACAGTGTCCCTTTTTAAGTTCAACAGGAGAATAAAATTCACTCAGCCAAAGAGGTCCAAAAGGAAAACCTGATTATTATGCATTGACCACGTGTCCCTTTTGTTGGCTGTACAGCAGAATGTATGGTCACTTTAAAGTTATTCAGATTTACAGGGCAAAATATTAGGCCTGAAGGATTAACTTGGCATTATCAGGGCTTTGTGTTATGACTTCCAGATGAACTCCTCTGTTTGGTTGTCACTGCCAGGTTCTCCACATATACAGCTTAAATAATTGAACTTCACAGGGTTTGCCCACGTAATTGATACTGGGGGATTTTAAAATAAGTCTGTCCTGTGGAAAGTTAAGTCACCCTTTTGCAACCTGGTGACCAAGTACTTCTGTGGTAGCATCACTGTCCTTCTGGCTCACAAATGAATTCTTAGATTGGTGAGGTGTAAACTCTGAAGCCAGTCAGTGACCGAGGGAGTTGGACTATTGTCTTGTAAAGCAAAGAGAAAATGGTATTATTGCTTTTGAAATACACAGCTGGCCATTTTTTTTGTTGTTTTGTTTCTTTTTCATCTTCAAGGAGTGTGAGGGTGGAATTGGGTGCCTGTGTTGCTTCCTAATAAAGCTCCCCTCTTGAAGAGGGTGTGTGAACCTGAACTTGAGATGTGCTCAGCTGCTTGATGTCTTAGCAGAATCACTGCCAATGATCTTAAAATGTGCATTAAGGTTGAAGCAACTGCTACCCTGCAGTTGGACTCACTGGAAGGGCTTTGCTTACCTTGCAATGCATATGGTAGATATGGTTAACAGTGATGAGGATTGCCAGCATCTACCCCACTGTGACAAAATGCTCACCAGAGAACTTTGGAAAAACTCACATTCAGTATTCTGACACTTAGATTAGGCTCAAATGGCAATAGATGGATGGGGAGGCAAAGAAAAGTTATCTACCACAGGTTTGTCTTGTGATCTTTTTCCACCTTTGTGTGGATTTGCCAGAGCAACTTAATTTTCTTCCTATTCAGCATTTTCTCAAATATGGTGCTTTCTTCCAGAGATAATATTGTTGGTCTAGAACTAAAATATTGCTTACAGACTACTCTCTCCTGGAGACTCTTTCCATATCATTTCCTTACAGAAATTGTCTGAATGATGTTTGTCTTCAGGTGACTTGCTCCATCTTCCTCTTGTAGTCTTTCTCTCTCTTGCTTATCCCTAATTTTTCCCTCCTCTTGTAATTCAGTTGATTTTTCTTGAAAGCTGCTCCTTGAAGTCTGGTCCTACCTCTCCCATCTTGAGGCACATCAATATGATTTTCTGGAAGACATAAACCACAAATGTTTCATGAGCACACAACATCAAAGTGTTTCCTTGTAAAGGAAAACTTGCAGAATTCTCAGTCGTGGATTTGATTTGGGGAGGCAAGAAAGAGGAAGGAAAAGCATGAAGAAGGTGTTAAGAAGCCTGTACCTTCCCTCATTAGTTCTGTTTGGGGCAGAGTGTATTTTGTGCTGTGGATAGTTGCATTCTCCTCTTTTTATTCTGTATAGTCAGGGAGGCTAAACTTGTTTCTCCCCGTTTGTATCAAGCTGAACAAAACATTGTTCTGAGGTCTGGGTGCATATCTGAACTCTGGCCCCTGTTCCTTTCCTATGATGAGAAAATGTGCTTCTATTCCACATATATAAGTGGATAAATAATATATTTATGTGCTTTCCTCACAGAAGTGTTGCAAGTACTCATAAGTTCTTTTTGCTTGCAGTGCCTCCTGCACATAACAAATGCTTTAAATCTGCCCCAACTTCCCCTCGTGCAGAGTGTGTGTAACTGGCTCTGGGATCCAGCCATCCAGCTGAACTGGCTGAAAGCCCAACTAGGGGAAAGCTTTTGAGATCACTAATCATAGTAATAAATTAAAGAAATGCATCTGTTTGCTCCAGCAGGCAACTGGTAATGGTACAAATACAAGCTGTTGGGTATCCAATAGCAACAGCACTTAATTAACTTCTCCCACCAGAGTTCTTTGCATGATGGGTAATCCTAAATTTATGTGCTACATTATACATATTGCATTCCATTAATGTGTAAAATAGAAAGGAACATGTGGTTCAGGCAGCAGAATATCTGTGGGAATCAGCACGTTTAGTGTTTCACCCTTCAGAGACTTGAGTCTCAACTTCCACCTCAGCAAAACTCTTATTAAAATTGCAGCAATACATGTGCTCAACAGTGCAAGGTCAGGTATGCAGTCACCTGGGCCGTAGCACAGCTGTATTATCCTAATTCAGATTTAGAACTGTATTATCTTCATTCAGATTTAGGCACTTCTCACAGTACTCTCAGCCAGGGAGGACCCCCGAGCAGAAAAATGCAGTTTTCTCACAACTAAACTCTGAGGATTTAAGCCAAAACTCAATCACACGAAAACTATTTCAAGGTTGGACAGCTGATTGCTTTCTCACAATCGAACAGCCTAGACAGCCTTATTCATGTCAGAAATACACAAAAAATGTACATTGTTTTGTTCTGTCACTGTCCTTTTTCGACACTGGTAGAAATGCACACTAACACAACATGCAGACCTGCCTCTTGTGAGTCTGCAGGCAGCCTAAAGTTTAAATTGAGTTGTTTGTCCCTAGAAGAGAGTCTCAGGAGACTTAGTTATAACTGATTTAAAAAATACCTGGGGGGAGAGAATCTGAAGAGCGTGAGAACGTGTCAGGGCTGGGAGGCACCTACATCCTTCAGAGCACCTTCAGTTGTTTCTGTGGATTGCCTTGTGTGCTTAAGCTCTGATGAAAGGCTCTACCAACCTAAAATCTGCATAATTTAATTCACTAGACTGTTTGACAGGATGCAGATTGAATGATTGATTGATTGATTGATTTTAATATAAATGTTTAGAGATGAAGCAGGTAGAGCAGCCATTTGGGTGCTCCAGGACAGTTTTAAATGTGTCAGACCCATCAGCCAGTTACTCTTGTCCTCTACTTTAGAGTCCCAAAGTTGCTCCTGGGCAGATCCTTCTTCCAAGGTTAATGTAAAATCAGAAGTGTCACCAAGCTAAAGCGAGAGTTACTGGAGTTGCTGGATCCAAAGACCATAAAAAAAGTTTATGAATGTTTCTGTGCTGCACAGAAGCTAAAATATCGCTCCTGTGAGTAGCTTCCATTTCCTGCCAGTTCTTCTCCCGAGTGCAGAAAGCTGTGGGAGGATGTGAACAGCAGAGCCAGCAGCACAGACCCCACTCTGCTCTGAAAGCCTCTCACAGGTGGGAAGCATCCACCCCGTGTTTTCCAAGCTCCTGGCTGAGCCTGGTGCTGAACCAACAGCTTCTCCCCAAAACCAAACCCTGACAGGACAGAGGCTGGGCTGAAAGGTGCCCTTCCCCCAGGGCATGTGACTGATTGATGGCTGGACCAGGAAAGGTGAGAGGCACTGCTTCAGATGGCTGGGGTTCCACAAAAAACACCTGCATTTTCCTAAGGAAGACAAATGCTGATTGCCACGTGCACTTAGAGTATTACATTCCAGTCTCCCATCACACTGTGCTTGGCAGCAGAAGCCCTGTGTTTGTCACTCCTGGGCACTTCTGCAGGATTTTAATGCCTTTCGAGCCGAAGCCTGTGCTTTGGAGATGGTTCACATTGCTCCTACTCACTAGCAAAGGTTATTGTCACTCACTAGCAAAGGTTATTGTAACTTTAGATTAGATATTGGGAAGAAATTCTTTACCATGAGGACAGTGAGGCACTGGAACAGGCTGCCCAGAGAAGCTGTGGCTGCCCCATCCCTGAAGTGTTGGAGGCCAGGTTGGACGGGGCTTGGAGCAACCTGGGGTAGTGGAAGGTGTCCCTGCCCATGGGGGCAGGGGGGTTGGAACAAGATGATCTTTAAGGTCCCTTCCTTTAAGGTCCCTTCCAAGCAATTCTATGATTTCCACTGCCTGACAAGGAAGTAGCCAACTAAAATAGTGCCTCCTCTTTCACAGCAATAGCTTTGTACGGTGGCTTAGTTCCACTGGAAAAAAAATGACACCCATTAGTAGTGAAGGAATGATTCAGAGCCTCTGGAGCCAAGTTTTTTTCAGAGATTTCTGCCATTTTCTGACAAATGAGGTAAACAGTTGCCATGTTCACCGTCACAAGGCCTCTTGCTAAGTTGGTGTTCACATAAAAGCATCATCCATCACCACAGCCCCTTCAGAGCTCAGGTACACCCTGGGCCCATCACTTACAGGAATTGTGGCTCACAGTTCACAGCAAAGGGACCAGTCTCTGCAAATGTCCAGATCTTCCTCTGGCACAAAATTGTACTACACTGGTCTGAGCAGACCTGTTCTGATCCGTGCCTGTTGAGGTTCTGCTGCAGTCCCTTCAAATCTGGCTGTGCTGGCAGAGGGGGAAAAGCTTTCACTCTTTGTTCCTAGGAAAAGCTGGGATACCAGGCTGACAAACAGCTTCCAGCAATAAGAAGCCCTTGGTGGATACACTGATTGTTACAGGCAATAGGAATGTCCTCCTTCCCCCAAAAATGGAAGGACAAGGGAGGACAAAGCACAATGCACCAGACTCTGTAAAAGCCTCCCAAGACTGAAAGGAAGGATGTGAGAAATTAATTGCAGGACAAGCACTAAATGAAAAGCCATTCAGTTGTCTGAATATATTTTAAACCAGAAAGAAATAGAATATAATCTAATCCCTCTGCCTGTGGAGTCTGCCAAAGAGCAGGGAGATAATTTTCATAGCTTGGCATCTGTACACTCCTATGGCTGGGTTACACATAGCATTTAATGCTACACCCAAAATGCATGTTGAAAAGTTGCTTGGGTTACCAAGTCTTAATGCTTAAAAGTTCTGAAAGGCCAGAATGAACAGTGCTGGTGCAATCTCAATTTGGCTGTCTTGTCTGTGTGAGAGAAAATGGAAAGTCTCAGATTTTTTAGGTGGAGCTCATCATCTTTTTTTTTTTTTTATTTTGGGAGAACATCAAAATAGTGGAATGATTCGAGTTTTTACGATGTAGGGGAAACTTCAACAACAGTTTGCCTCAGGTTGGCTCAGTACTGAGGAGATTGAATGTTTAGGTTTTTTGAATTGACAAGGAGCACTTCAGCACTGAGCAGTGGCAGTGGGTGTTGCCATTTTCAGAGAATCACAGAATATTTTGAGAGTTGGAAGGGACCCACAAGGATCAGAGTCCAACTCTTAATTTTGCCATAAGGATTTGCCTCTGTTTTCATCCCCAGTTACCTCATTTTTGGTGAAGCACAAATTCTCCTCTGGTCTAGCTATGAAATGCACCTACATGAGGTCAGATGAGAGGATGACCCTAAACAGTGGCCAGTTTTGTCACAGCCACTGTGGAGAAGGACCACCCCCACTGGCAGCCATTGCTGATGTTTCTAAAATAATAGCTGGCTCAGGGAACACAGACATCTGGTGCTTAAGAGTTTAAACAAAACCCAGGCCCTGGAAATTTTCAGCTTGAAAAACAGACTGAAATTTCAGCTCCAGTGTTATTTCTACTGCAGCTGACAATCCTGCAAGGCTGGGGAGAAATGTCAAAATATGTTTGAAAGCGAATACCTCGGGGTGATGTTAAGGCTCAAACAGAATAAATGTGCAACACATGCCTGATTTCATCAGAGTTAAGCAACCCCTTACCTGCAGACCTGAGGAAAGGTGATGGAAATACCTGGGATGCGTTACAAGAAGCTTTTTCCCCTGGCAGGTGTGATCTTGGTCATTGGGGAAACACATAAATGGGATCAACTGAAAGAATCCCTTTGCTGAGCAGTCAGAAATGTCTGGGATGCTTCTCCCCATCAGCTGTAGGAAACACCAGGGGACTTCATAACAGGTCCATAAGGCCCAGGGGGGCACAGCACAGGTGTAAATCTTGATCATATTCTGTGGGGGCATTTGGGAGGGGTTCCTATTTGAGTGCATGTACCCACTGTATTAAGGTGGCAGCCCATTCCTTACCTAGTGCAGGTGTGGGTGGCAACTAGAAATGTTCTCATGTGCTCTGGATTAAGCACAGATGGAGAACTGTGAACTACAGCTCCTGTGAGCCATGGGGAGCAGCACCAGAGTGCTCGGGAGATAAAGCAGTTTCTGTCAGTTCAAAAGCAGTTTCTGTCAGTTCAAGAGAAGATTTTCTTAGCAGGATTTTTCTGTCTGCTGCTCATTTGGGTAACATAAACTGCCCTTTTGCTATCATGGCTTGGGAATTGTCACCTTTATTTAACACCAGCAGGCAAAAGGCAGATGAGTTGCAGCAATGAGCATAAGAACAGCTGGTGCCTTCTGGAAAGACAAGGTGTATTTACAAGTCTCCTGCAACGTGCCCTGAGCAGTGCTGGGATGTGCTGTGTACTTCAACATAAGCAAGGCTATCAGGACAAAGAGTGAATGGCCAGTTCCAAGTAAAGCTGAAAGCGAGCTGGACTTCCTAATTCTCCAGACATTTACAGAACCCTCACGTCCCCACCAGGGTGCTCAGATGTGTCACCTGGGGCTGAAATTCATCTGCCTGACTGTTGCCAAATTTTCCTGGAGGTGAATACGTGGCAGCCACTAAACAGCTGATTCACCTGAAGCAAAATTAATTTGCATTGTTCACCAAAAAAACCCCAACCCTGCTTTTGTTTTGTATAGTTTGAACTGTGCTCAGTTCCTTTCAAGACCTCAAGGCATCGTGACATCATGATATGGATATCACGTAAGGAACTCTAGACTTATTACTCCACCCAAGACTGTGCTTGTTTTCATGTAATTTTCTGATAACTGGAATGACCAAATAGCTTTAATTGCATTTCTGTCATAGAGGAAGATGACTTGAGGTATTTAGAAACAGAGAGGCCAAGAGGAACTATTGCTAGAGGCAAGAGATTCCTGACAGCCTTGTGGTGGGGACAGCTTTTGCTGGGGTGGGTTAAATATTATACCAGTCCCAGGGAAGCACCAGAAAGCCAAGTTTCCATAATTGATGCTGGGAAAGCCAGCTGCTGACTGCTCATGTTGTTGCTCTGCAGGTGGGAAGAAACCATTTGGATCATCTGAGTTTCCTCTGGACTGTGCTCACAGCAGTGCATTTGCTCTTGGGGCAATGTGTTACCACGAGTGCTGAAGGAGGAACAAGTCAGGCTCAAGGTGTGACTGGAACCCACACAAAAGTGGAGGGGGGATTAGCTCCTACAAACCAGTCACCTGCCAGACTGTTCTCCTCCCTTCCACCTGGGAAATACAGGTAGGAGGAAATAGGCTTGTGCTGCCTTTCATTGCTCTTGCAGAGCAGAACTGCCTGTCTGTGTTAGGGGAGCTAATTGTCACCTCAGGGCATCACATGCTACAAAAGGGAGTGCTGTCAGCTGACTCAGACATTGGAGCATGTGGAATGCATTCAAGAGTTTGAGAAAGGGCTGCTAGAAAAAAGCTGTAAGTGCCCAAACTATGAAGCAGCGCAATTTTAAAGACATTTCCATTTTAATAGTTTGTTATGAGTGTTGCTAAACCTGCCTTTTAAATTGCTCACTCCATTTCTTAAGAATCTCACCTCTTCCACACTGGTTTGAGGTTGTGCAGCTCCCATAAGGGCTGGGGTGGGGGGGATAAGACAAACTGCAGGTCACATCACTGCTGAGAGCTGCTCACTGGCTCTAAAGGAGCTTTGGGAACTTCGGGAATATCTGGTGTTCCCATTGGGAAGGCTGGTTTGGGCACTTGTAGGGGACAGGGAGCTGCTGGTGGATGGCTGTGGTGGTTGTGCTGCAGAGGAAATATTGGGGGGTCAGGGCAGGGCTACCCTCCACACCAGAGGGAACTTGAAGGATTTCAACTCCACTGCTGCTTATTTTCCAGCTAAATCTAAATCTAGATCGAAATCTAAATCTAAACCCCATGCTAAGACCTTTGAACTAACAACAGCCATGCCCCTCACTGGTGTGCAGGCAGCCACGAGACTGGGTTGCTCACATCAGTGCAGGGTCTCTGTTCACCTCTTTAAATTACTTTTAAACTCGATGCCGTGATTTTTGTCGCCAATATTGAGTTCAGAGGTGGTTTTCAGAGGAACACTTTGTCTACAGCACACGTTTGGGCTTCCCTGGTTTGGACTTGTGTCTAGGGCAGTGCTCTGAGCTGGTGGGAAACAAACTGGAAGCAGTCAGGAATTGCCTCCCAGCTCTGCCCTGCAAGGAGCAGGAGGGCCCTGCTCCAGCACTGCTTTGGCACATGGTCTATGGCACAGGATCATCACCAATGACCTGGCTGCTTTTTTGGGAAGGGAAGCTTGGGATCTGCTCGGATCCTGTCTCACAGACGGATGCAGGAGGAGACTTGGCACTTGGAGTGAGCCTGGAGAGCTGCTGCAGGCCAGGACTCGCCTCCCCACCTCCCCCAGCAGCACTGAGGGTGTGAGAGCAGCAGCTGGCCTAACTTTTGTTATTAATGTGGTCCCTGGCTAACACAGCAAAGCTAAGAGAGAAATCTGGTTTCCTGCAGAGTTTCTGGAATATCTAGAATTGTACAAATTAAATACATCTTTTGTCCCATCAGCTGGGCTGGGTGGGAGGGGGATGAAACCACACAGGATACAATTTTTCTCTATTTTTTACTAGAGGCCATATTTTACAATACTCACTTGCAAAGAGTAGTGATGTGAAACCAATAGGGTTGCTAACATAAATAAATATTACTTACTGTAAATAATGGTTTCTGAAGTAATCCTGTGCTTCTGAAAGTCAAGTATTTTTCAATTAGTGGCAATGTTTTTCATTTCAGTATCCTGAAATGGTTGATACTCCTGAACACTGTTCTGGAAGGTAAAAACATCCAGGAGAATTTTTGAGGTGTTTTTTGTTGATTTTTTTTTAATGGAAATATGAAACATTCAAAGTTCTGATTTATGAGTTTTGAATAGAGGGAACAGATAATGGTTTGAGGATATAAATTGAAAGGTGATCACTGAAAAGCTGTGTCCTCTCTCACTGAAGCATTGCAGCCCAACTTTCAATGATCTGAAATGTTTTCTTCCTCCTCTTAAGGTTATTAAAAAAAAAAAACAAACTCAAAACACCTTGGGCCTTCCAAAGCATCTTAAAAGAGTGAACGGCCAATTAGAAGTTAAAGTGAGTTGGACTTACTCATTCTCCATTATATATAAATTCTTCATTACATATAAAACATTTATAGAACCCTCACGTCCCCACCAGGGTGCTCAGATGTGTCACCTGGGGCTGAAATTCATCTGGCTGACTGTTGCCAAATTTTCCTGGAGGTGAATATGTGGCAGCCACTAAACAGCTGATTCACCTGAAGCAAAGCTAATTTGCATTGTTCACCAAAAAAACCCCAACCCTGGTTTGGTTTTGTATAGTCTGAACTGTGCTCAGTTCCTTTCAAGACCTCAAGGCACCGTGATCATGATGAATATGGATGTCACGTAAGGAACTCCAGACTTATTATTCCACCCGAGACTGTGCTTGTTTTCGTGTAATTTTCTGATAACTGAAGTGACCAAATGGCTTTAATTGCATTCCTGTCATAGAGGAAGATGACTCGAGGTACTCAGAAACAGAGAGGCCAAGAGCAACTATTGCTAGAGGCAAGAGAGTATATTTTTGTCTGCTTCTTGAAGGTCTGGGGCAGGCATGTTGCTTTGGAAAGGAGATTATTGCTATGGGTAGTGTAATTTAATGGCAGGGAGTGGGGTTTAATCTCACCTGACTTTCCTTAGGCACCAAAATGGTTAAATGTCTTAATTTCCAGACCCCAGGGTCCTTTATTGTCAACAGATAGCAAAAGGCACCTCTGCAGAGCTCCTCTGGTCCTCCTGGGGCATCAGCCTGGGTGAATGATGCTGCAGGGACTCCCTTTTTGTCTTTACTGGCTCCAAAAAACCCCAGTAATTACTCAGACCAGGTGCAGGAGCCTAAAAGTCCCCTGCCTAACTCAGGGAGGGAGTAGGTCCCACTGCCCCCAAAACCCAAGTTATAAAAACGTGCAGGATGGATTTCTGTTAACATGATCTTCAGCCTCACACTGCCACAAGCAAATCTACAAAATACAATCTCCCATGTAAATATATCTTCTGTGCAAATGTACAAACACACAGTCTTCTCTGTAAATATACATATTTACAATCCAGTACCACCATGTGGAGTTTGAAGTGGAATCTCCGTGTTCTGGTTAGAAACCTTCTTCCCTCGTATTTATTCGTGAGCACATTTGATTATTAACACATACAACAGACCTGTAACACACCAAAAGATTCTGATGGAAAACCCGAGGCCTGTGGGTATTTCCTCACACACAGCTCTGGAAAGAACCACAAACCTTGGAATATTTCTGTGTCAGTGGCAGGGACTGAATGATCTGAATCTCTCTGATTCCAGCTCATCCCAATCTCTCAAAAGCTGATCTTCCCAGCGTTACAAATCTGTTCCCACACAGCAGCTCTGCTATATCCCAGATACTCAGGTATCCTGATATATCTCAGATACTCAGGAGTCCTGTCATATCCCAAATATTCCAGTATTCTGCACTTTGGCTGAACTCTCAGCCAGCAGTGCCATCTCAGATCCAAGAGAGCACAATGGGAAGCACAAGGGGCTTTACAAGAACCTGCCCTTCCGTGTTAAAATCCAGGTACATGATAGGAGAGAAAGGCCTCCTTTCATGCTGACTGACAATCTGAATTTAACAGATGTGCTAGAAATCGAAGGCCAGGTTTAAAAAGCAAGCAGGAAAACTTACCATGTGATTTATGATGTAGCTTGTTGGGACGCTGCCATTCCCTGCTTACACCATCTCCTAATGCACCAAAAATATTGACAGGGATATTTAAAAAACCCAACCAAAGAAAAAGCACAAACAGCAAAACCTTGGTATAACAGTAGTGCCTGATTCAGCAAGAAGAGCAGTTATAGAGTGTATTCTTTTATTAAGCCTAGTAAATTTTAATTTTTTTTATAATTCCTTTGCCATGAAATGATCAATTTATTTATAAGTGAAGGTCATATATTAAATGGGTGTTTCTGCAAGCTCTGCTCAGTGTAAGGGATCTTTACTTATGGGGATGGTCAATTCTAAGTGTTGTAACAGGTCTTAGCAACTTCCAGCTGAGGTTAAATGCAGGATGCTTGACACTAACTGAGCTGTACAGAAAAATTAGTGAGAGAAGGAAAAATGTGGCCATAGGAACTATATGTATATGTATTATGCTATTTGCATATTTATCTATTTATTTATCTGGCCCACAGTTTCTGTGTATGCACCTTTTATATGGAAATGCAGCTTAAGTTTCTTGGTAAAATTCAAGTTTAAACCCCTGAGCTGAACAAAAGCTCAGGCCAACCTACATCAGGTGAACATCCTGCTCCTTTTACTGTCTCTTTTTGCCCTGGAGCTCTTTGCCCCCTTTGGCATCAGCAAAATTCAGTCTATTAAAATTGTTGCCTAGCATTTTATCCTAACAAGGGATAAAAACAAACAAACACTTCCATGGAAATTGAACTGCTGAGACTTGCTCCAAATATAAGGCTGGAGTGTTCAGGTACCATTTGCAGAGCTTCAAGGTGCTGACTTCTTTCAAGGGCCACGAAATCAAATAAAACTGAAAGCCACTGAGATTTTAGGGGATTGAGAAGCAGGACTCCATTTGAAAGAAGGTGGCAATGTTGGTTTCCAAAGCAGATCAAACTGATATTTTTATACCTGTGAATAATGAAAATATGAATACCTTGAGCTGGATCCCAGCTGGATCCCTATGAAATACTCCAGGCTCTCCACTCCCCTGGCAGGAAGGTGGGTGCTGCAGGGGCAGAGGGGGCACAGCAGTGGCCCTGAAGAGGACAGTGCCTGATCCCTGTGCCCTCATCCAGCAGCAAGGAGGGCAGGGAGCTCCTGGGGGTGCTGGAACTTCTCAGTCCTCACCTCTGCATTTCACCCCACTGAGGAGGTTACACCCCCTTTCTTTCTCCCATTTCCATTTTTCTCTCCTGATTATTAACAGTTTTTTACAAGAACTGCTGCTTCCTCCAGGAGACCTGAAACAAGATTCATGTGCTGCCTCTCTTACCCCTGCCAGAGGCTCAAATTGCTCCAACTGCACAACTCCCTCTATTTAGGAGGGAGGAAGCTGTTTCAGCACTTGAATTTTGATCTCCAAACCTGGGGTTTAGCCCAGGGTTGTATATTTACTCCAAGTTAACTTGGCTTTTTTATTTACCTGTGCACAACACAGGGAATTCTGTCATTTGGGGAAATAAAATGTGTATTAGTGGCATAAGAGAAAAAAAAATAATTCTTGAAATAGTTATTTCTTTTACCAAAGAGCTTTCACTTTTCAGTATTGAGGGTTAGTCTTCTGAGTCAGAGATCAAGAGAAAATATGTAATAATTGCTGTGTTGAGAGCCAAATTTCATTGTAGGATGAAAGTCACTGTGTTTCCTGCAACTGTTCTTTCTGTGTATGATTTTTGTTTCCCCCACAACTGAATTTGTGTGGCTTTTCCAGTCTGATATTTAAAGCCATTTCTTTTAAAATAACTTCTGAAGATACTTCGAGAAAGAGCTTTTTTAACATTAACAAAATTATCAACAGTTAAATAGGAGTAAAGCCTTTGCAATTTAATCTGGTTCTGTGGTGGATCCAGGTAAGTTGCCTTGCACATAATCATCCAAGCAATAAATAATGTTTAACTTTGTTCACTTGCAGCTGGGAGCAGGAGGGTAACACCCACAACACCAGCACTGGAAACAGCACAACGTACTGGAAGGGATGTTGGAAAGACAATTTTATGCAGAAATGTTTCTTCTCTCTTTTCCTCTCTGCCTTTCCCATGTAAAAAGCAACAGGAGAAGTTGAGGTGTGTCGTGATGTGGAAAGAGAAGAAGCCAAGGAGCCTGGGTAATTTCAGCAGAGTGCAAAAGGCAAGAAAACAAATGGTTTTTTCGTGGTTATCTGAGCCGTATTGCCAGTTTTGCAGAGAAACATGTTTTGACACTCTGGTGGAACTGTGACTGGTTTATTATTTTTAAATTGTCTCACAGCTGCAGCCAGATAAGTGTCTGCTGGGGTGTAAAATGTCCTTTGGCTGCAACAGGATCTTTGTGCATGGCTCAGTGACCCCTGCTGAGCAGCGTTTCTGGAGTCACAGAGGGAGAAAACCAGCGCCTGGTTGGCGTCACTGGACTGAGGTATGGCTTGGTTGGAGTGATAATTTATGAAGCAATGACATTTTTTTGTTGTGAACAATTATGACTGCCAGCTGGTGGCTTATTCTCAGTTCGTTCTACGTCACTTTTCATTATTTGCTCATTTTTTTTTGCATCTGTGTGCACGCTTCGTATTGTGGATCTGTTGTACACTCATTTTTTCATGAGAGAAGCTTAAGCTTCTTGCAGTTGCCCAGTGGTGAGTGCAGTTATCAGGTATGCACCTTAACATTAGATGAAGGGCAGAAAGGCTGGAATAATTCAGAATGATGAATTCAACAATAGCTATTAAATACACACACTCTAACAGAGAGTCAATTTTCTTGTGTCCACTATAATCTTACATGGAAGAAATTGGAAGCCACAAAAATAATCTTCACCTTTTCAGTGCTACCACCACCAGTGGCTTTCTGTGGCCAGAGAATGGGAGAGCTGAGGATTTGGCAGGTGGTGCCTGAGATGAGACTTTGCCCAGAGATTCCCATTCTTTGGTGTGATTGTGCAGTCCCATGGCATCAGCAGCTATTATGCAGCAGCTGCATAATCAGGCATTTATTGGAAGAGGTGGGGAGGAGGAAGGCCACATGTTTGTCCCCTGTGTTCCCTAATGGCAGAGGATGATACAATTGGAAAAAAAGCATCGTGTGATTTTGGTTTTTTGATGTGCAGCTGTTGGTTCGTGTTTTCTGACTGCTCAGTTAAGTGTGACGGGATTGCAATGGTAGGAAAATGTGCTGCTGGGGTCACAACAACCCCCTGCAGCTCCAGGCTGGGGCAGAGGGGCTGGAAAGCTGGGAAAGGCCCTGGGGGTGCTGGTGACAGTGGCTGGACATGAGCTGGGTGTGCCCAAGAAGGCCAAGGGCACCTGGTTTGGATCAGGAATAGTGTGGCAGCAGGACCAGGGCAGTGCCTGTCCCTGTGCTGGCACTGCTGAGGCCACACCTCAAATCCTGGGGGCAGTTTTGGGCCCTCAGGACAAAAAAAAGACATTGAGGGGCTGGAGCGTGTCCAGGGAAGGGAACGGAGCTGGGGAAGGGGCTGGAGCAGCAGGAGAGCTGAGGGAGCTGGGGGGGCTCAGCTGGAGAAAAGGAGGCTCAGGGGAGAACTTATTGCTCTTTACAACTATTTGAAAGGAAGCTGAAGACGGGTGAGGTTTGGTCTCTCCTCCCAGGGCACAAGGGACAGAACAAGAGGAAATGCCCTCAAGCCGTGCCAGGGCAGGTTTAGGCTGGACACCAGGAGAAATTTGTTCACTGAAAGGGATGTCCATCCCTGGCACAGCTGCCCAGGGCAGGGGTGGAGTCCCCATCCCTGCAGGGATTTCAAAGCCAAGTGGATGTGGCACTTGGGGACATGGGTTAGTGGTGGCCTTGGCAGCGCTGGGGGAACGACTGGACTCAATGATCTTAAGGGTCTTTTCCAACCTAATGATTCCATGAAAACTGATTTTGGTGTGAGTGACTCTTCTGGGACTGTAGCCTCACACATTCCCCACATAAATCAGATTTTAAAGAGCCATTCTCCTTAGGGTCCTCACTTTGGCCTTCTGTGCAGGATCTAGCTTCCCATTCTTCCCACTGTTGCTCATATTCCACAAGCTCCCTTGCCAGTTTTCAAAATCACAAATAATGGCTGTTTTGTTGCACCTCAAGACAGTTCCTCGGTGACTTGCCAACTTTGAAAGAAATGCACACTTAGGTGAGATGAATCCCACTGGCAAACTTCATCTGGTTAAATGTTAGTGACTCTTACAAACTAATCTTCCAGCATGATGTCAAAAAATTAATCAAGATAAGCTTCCAAGCAATTCCATCCATTGAGAGAAGGTGGAATGAACAGCCTTCCGAAAAATGCCTCTTTCAATGTGCTGGTGAGGGTGCTTAAATAACTAGTAGATGTAAGACTTTTAAATGGCCCAACTGAGGTTAATCCTGCTCTTTATCAACAGTCAAGATTTGTATAAATAGATCTTGCAGGTATTGGGTATTTTTCTGTCTTTGTTTGCTGCAGTCCTCTATCATCCGACATCTGCTCGCCATGAAGGATTTACAGGCTGAGTTCAAATTGCCTTTTAATGTTCTTTTAGCCTTGAGCTTCTTAAACTTCTTACAGTTTGACAGAAGTCAGATAAGCTCTGCAGCTCTTTCTGAATGCTTTTCCATCTGGTATTACAATTTTTCCTGCTCCAGGCCCTAGTGCAGGTGGTGTTTCCCCCCCAGCAATCTCACTGCCAGTGAGATAACAGCTCCCTACTTCTAATTGGCACCTCCTCTCTATATACTCCAGAATTCCATTAGCTTGGTTATTATCCATCATATTGTGTAGGGAACTGATGGTGAGTATTGTACTACTGGATATTTCAAATTTACTCATGTGCTTCCCTGCAGCCCCCTCACAGTATGTCAGCTAAGGGCCAACTAGAAGAATCTTGCTCTTATTACAAAAGTATTGCAGAATTTAAATTTTTTTTTACACAAATTACAATAATGGAACTATTGTCAAATACTTTCAGTGTGGCCCCTCAGTAACCAGATCAGCTTTTCTGTCTCATCTGTCAAATGGAAGCACCAAAACTTGAGTAGTTTGGCATTGTGGGGATAAATACAGCACAGCCTAAGGATATAATAAGGAATACTAGGGATTCGTGGACTTTTATAGTACACAGGAGCAGCTCTAACTCCAGCCATGGCCAGCAGTCATGAGAACTGTCCCTAAGAAAGATAAGGAAATGTCAGACAATCCCCTGGATAATTTTTACTAATTCTGCTCCTTATTTATTTTATTTCTGCATTTATTTAACTAGAATAAAGGAAGAAACAAAACTGAGGCAGTGACTGCCCTCACAGGTTAAATTTATTAGTGTAACAAACACTAGGGAAGATTTGGATTACTCTTTTCTCTGCCTTTAATGCTTAACAAGGTGTTTTTTCCTTATTATTTCACTTGTCTCTAACTTTTTCACGACATGTCCCTCACAGCCAAGTCTGGCTGTTGGGCTGCTTCAGGTATTTTTAGTTTTGCTTTACATATTCCCAGGGCAAGTCAACCTGAACAAGTGAACCAAGCTTATTTTTTTTCTTCAGTAGCATCACAATTAAGCAGTATTTTTAACACATCCACAGAAATGCAGCCACATTTAGTTGTTCATGCAAACACCGGGGCTCTTTTTTAATCAGGATGCCTGTTTTTGTTATGCTCTGAGAGGCTTCAGTGAACATTAAAAAAAAAAAAAATATGGAGTCAACTGTCCTGTCATTTCCTTTAAAATGTCTTAAAATGCAATTAAGCAGGTGTCCTTCTAGTGGACATTTTTCCCTTTCAGATTTGAGCCCAACAGTCATTTTTCTGCCAGGTGACCAAATGCAAACACCTTCCTATCACTGCTTTTTAACTCTTACTGTAAACCTATTGGGAAGTGAGATAACTTAAATTTATTTCACACATAGCCACTTTTTACAGCTCTTTTTTACCCTCTTGTATACTCTGAGGTGTGCCAACTTCCTACCAACTACTCCTTTGCTGCTGCTCTGTGGGGACTCCACAGTTTTGTGCTGAATAAACTCGTTTCTCTCTTGTTTAATGTAACGTGTCCCACTTTGGGATCACGTTCTCACCTGGCTGGGACTAAAATTAGCAGCATTTCTAATTGTGTTTGAATGAAATGTCACATTTCTGCCATTTAGTGCCTTAGGCTGGTTTAAGCATTTCCAATTTCCAAGAAATTTTTTATAGTGGATTTCAAAGTGTTTTCAGAGGTGTGTTTTTTTTTCCTGAAGTGAACTGCAGATGTGTGTGCACATGTATTTATGACAGTGTTGATCACATAATTTCCCCAGATCCTTTTTAAGTTCCTGGAAATTGTTTGCTGACTGGCATCAGTGTTCTCTCATGATTTAATGAAGAGTAAAATGACTCAAATTTGGATGCTTCTTGATCTATTTTGCTTCAGAGGCTGAAGCAGCCCTGTATCTGATTTCTTGCTAATGATGAAAAACTGACTGTGCCTAATTCCTGGCCTGTTCTTGAACTGTTCAGTGAAACATCATTATAAAAGTGAGGTCATACAAACACGTTTTAGCACTTTTCTGATGAAGTGACTAATTTCTTGCTGTGATTGTTTTGTCATGGTCTAACCAGGGGACAGTGACAAGGAAAGCAATGATGTGGTGGATTCCTGACCTCAGCTGTCACTGAAAATAATTGTCTGCCATCCTTACCATTTACAGTCATGTATTCAGCATCAGCACAGAAGCTTAGGATGATTTCATCACTGAATTTCTTTACTGTCCCATGGTATGCCATTATTTCATGTGGAAATCTTAGCATACTCAAAAAGGATTATTTATTACATGTGGCTTTTTGTTTAATGATTCCTATGAGAATAACAAATGTGTCTGTAAATGGTCAGCTTTATTACCTCCTTGTTCCTCCTCGAGTTAGGGATTTATTTGTTTCTTGACATCCAAAATATAGGGAGTTGATTTTCCAAGCTGAAAGCAATGGGATTTTACTTCAGAGACTCTTCTCTTGTTGTTTTTTTTTCTTCTTCTTCATCCTCACTTCAGTTAAAAGCACCAAGTGTACATAGATAGTTGTTTTGAAGGTATTTTGAGTAGTTCTCTGGGCCGTACACTACTGAAGATGGACAGTTTTCTGTCCATCATTTTCTCTTTTTTTTTGCCTTTTTCCCCTTTTTTTTGTCCTTTTTCTTTTTTGAAAACGTCCTTTCTTTTATTTGTTCCTTAGAAACAAATTGTTTCTTAGAAACTAACTGTTGCTGCATTTATGCAAACTCTTGTCACTTTGCATAAATGCAGTTATGCCTGTTTAGATCCTGAACTCCAGCTCCTGAACACCTCCCCTTTTATTTTCATTCCCACTGGCAATATCTTTGGCTGGTGCTGTTTATTCTCCCTGTCACGTGCTTGTCCACCTGCCTTATTTAGCCTCTGAAAAACTAGAAGCAATTAGTTGAATTTCATCCATGCAATAAAAACCTTTGGTCCCTGCCACTTAAAGCTGAGACTGTCATTTAATACAAGGTTTGGGAGCTACTCACTGCTTTACACCTCTGCTACTCTAGACCCAGCTAAAAGCATGTCAGACACAATTATGCTCATTTTCAGTTATATTTGTATCCAGATATCTAAATCAGGAGTGGCTGTGAGCTTATTTTATTTTTCAGTGCATACTTAGGAGGTGTAAAACATGCACGTGCTGTTACAGCCACTGTGAGAGGCAAGACTTTTGTAACCACCCAAACACCTGCAGAGTCTTTTAAAATGTTGTGACAGAGAAGATGGAACTGGTTGCTAAAACTCAGGCTGTCACACTCGTTCCTGTGTGTGCTGCTGTTGTGACACTGTGCAGAGAAATTGTGGGTTTAATTGGAGCCTTCTGATTTCACACCGATTTTCTGCGACTTCAGTGGTTTTATTCTGGGTTTGGATGATGTAGATGAGGCAAATGATCTCGCTGCAGAAAAAAAAACTCTACTCAAAATGCCTGAGGAAATTTAAATATGGAAGTTGTTCAGTTCAGGAACTGCTCTCCAGTAATTCTGCTGGCTTTCAGTCCCCAGTGGGCAGAGCTCTTTTAGCCTTCAGACAACCTTTTAACTCCTCACTTTTGTCTTAATTACTACTTTCTGATAATTCATTACCATATTTAAGCTAAATCCCTTCAACTGTACAATCCATTTAAAGACTTCCCTGAGTGTGACAGTCCCAGTTCAATGGAAAGGCTCAGAAACAGCTAAAATAGGGAATATCCAACAGCCCACATCCGGTGGATCTGAAATTAGGAACGTAGAGAAATAGATGCTGTTGCAATATGGGGCCTATAAACCAAAAGAAAAGGAGAATAAGGCATGAAATCAACGTGTGTATCGACAAAAGATGCAGTGTATAACAATATAAACAAAGGTTGTCTATATTCAGATTGAGGTGAATGGGAATCTTGCACATTGCCTTAACTTCCAATGCTAATTGTGAATTTCTAAATGCAAGGGAGAAGGAAAGCAAGTAACTTATGTATCTTGGGTTTATTTTTATCATCTGCATTTAAATAATTCAAGATCTCCCAATTTATTTGAATGTTACATCACTGGGGCAAACCAACAAGACTCAGAGCTTGAGGTGGTTGGTTCCAAGCCCACAGTCAATTTGTCCTGTTGGTTTCCTGCCCTGGTTTTAGTTGGTGTAAAGTTAATTTTCTTCACAGGGGCTGCTGTGGGGCTGTGTTTTGGATTTGTGCTGAACACAGCGATAATAACTAATTGCTGTTTTTACAGGTATGTAGTTCCTAGCAAAGAGATGATAATATTTAGAAAAAAATATATATTCAACAATAGCTGTTATTCCAACCCAATGTATTCTGAAGGGAATGGAGGCACACAGGTAATGGTAGATATTTCCTGACACACCTAATCTCTGTTACCAGACACATTCTCCACATGATATTAATTCCCAGATAGTTCTTTCCTAAAAGTACTATGTAAGTATTCCATTTTATTTATTTTCAACTTTTAAAAAACCCCCAAACAACTACTGGTGCTCTGGTTTGCCATATTCAGTCTAATATAAAAATCCAGGTAAGGGCTGTAAATAAAAACTATGCTTTGCCCTATGATGCAAATTTTGCATCTTTAAAACACTGCCATCTTATTCCTGTTTAATGTATAGCAGTTCTGCAAATGTAAATTTGAGATATTTCTTTTTTTTTTACTGTAAACAACTTGTACCAAGAGCAGCCTCTGCACAAAACCCTCCTGGTCACCCCAGTGGCTCATGTTTTTGGAGGACTGTGGCCATGTTCACACTGCATGAGCAGCTCTTAGAAGGTACTGAAGTAATTATTCCCCATTTCAAAATTTCGTATCAAAGCAAATTCTTTCCCACAGACTTTTTAGCCACCAGCAAAGTATTTATGTGGTTTTTGGTAGAGTTGCTGTGGACACGCTCAGTTACCTGCTGGCTCCTAAACCCTGCCAATATTTTTGTGGGCTTTTTTTTTTCTCTCTTTGTATAGAAGTGCTTTGGGAGAGCTGTCAAGCAGCAGGTCAAAAGCAGCAGGCTAAAAACCATCCTACTTGTTGTCCAAAAGACAATGTGACTCGCAGGAATTCACAGTGAAAGCTGATTGCAACATCTAATGAAGGAAAGTAAAAGAGACTTGCCTTTTTCCAAGCCATTCCAACTGGGCAAAGGAAATAATCTCTGGCTAGCCCTGCTGGGCTGATACTTTTCCTGATTCTGGACAACCAGCAGGTTTCCAAAACTTTGAGTCCTGCAGCACAACTTGTATGCTCATAGGCATTGCCTCTGTGTGCTGTTGTGCAGAAAGGTGGGGAGCAGAGAGGCAAATGTTGGACTTCAAGACAGTATTCCCTGGGATTTGCATCCTTGGAGGAGGTGGGGAGGAGTTTAACATCACCAGAGCAAGGCAGAGTGAGCATGTTCTCTCTCAGATGTGGAACACAGCAGAGCCATGGAGAACCTGGAGAAACTCCGCCCACTCCTTGCAGGTGTGACCTTTTTTAAGTCATCCTTAATTAAAAATTAATTAATTAATTAACAGTATTCCCTGGGTTGGGAGCTCCTTCACTCGCAGTCTGTGACGGTGTTTGGGCTGGGAAGGTTCATCCACACAGGCCTCTGGGGAGCCCTCAGATGCTTTTCATACTGAAGAAGAAATAACATTAGTGGGGCTGCAAAATCCACGCTACAGGGTGAAGTTACATGATTCCAAACGGGGCTGGATGTTCCTGAGATCAATGGTTTTCCTTCCTCTCCTTGCCCAGCACTGCAGAGCAGCCAGCAGAAGGTATAACAGATTCCAGACTTCTTCAGTTATAATAATATTGTGCCTGTACATGGTCCTCTTTGTCTCAAGTAAATAATGAAGGGATCTGCTATGACAAAACATTCAAACACCTTGGGGCTGGTTCTACCCACTACATACCATTACTTGCTTGATTTTTCCTCTCTGACATAACTGTTTCAGTTTCACTGCCAATTCATGGCATTTAAATGAGGACAAGAAGAGAAATCATAAACTAAAAGCCACTTGCTTACGTAATTTATTTATTTATTTTAATCCAGGAAGATCCCAAACTGCTTTACAAGCTGCAGGTTAATCCTGACATCCTTCCTGGGGCAGTTTCTTACTCTGTCAGTTCTCTAAGGATGCTCAAAGTCTTCAGTGTGGTTGAGATTCTTGCTGTGCAAGAATTATCCTGGAATGTGTCCTCCAGAATGGGCATATTTTTAACTGTGCTTGGATAAATGTAGCACAGGAAGTTACCAACTTCCACAACATCTGTCATCGTGAAAACCTGCAAACTGCTTCGGAAAAAGGTTTTTAAACAGTATTTAAGTTTTTACGCCCTGGGATACATTCACATCCCCCAGGATTAATTTTCTATTTTCAAAATGCTCGCCTGTAAACAGGGAACTGTTCTTATATCACCCCTATGTTACACATGGTATGTTTGTGAAGTGCTAAAGGAAAATGTTTATTTTTCTCTAGTTTTGGGACACGTTAAAAATGGCAACACAAACTGCAAAGTGGATTATTTGAGCCTGGAAACCTGCTGTTACCAGAGCAGGTGTCACGATCTGGAAAAACGGAAATTCAGGTGTAAAATTAAAAAGGAAAAAAAATTACTAGACTCTGTAATTTTAAATCCAGTCATGGAAAATAAATCCAGTAAGTCCATTGCACTTCTTCACTGATAGCACAATTAAATTTTGAGCAGACAGTCCTGGGGTTGTTCATCAAATACAGACTGAGAAAACCAGACTCTGGAACCGAGCTTCATTTCTGTAGGGCAAAATTACCATATTTTCATGGATATAACCTGCAGATTATCTAACAGAGGAATAAATAGCCAGGCAACCCACTCCCCACCGTGTTAGCAATTGGTGTAGTACACAAATCTGTCATTTTCTGAGGGAGCTGTTTACTCAAAAACCTCCTTTGCATGCTAAACATCTTGCCTGTGATCACCAGTGCCTATTGCTATTTTTTTATGTATCCAACTCACACTGAATCATCTCTGCACTTCCTTGAGTTTCGAAAGTTGCAGGTTATCAGTTTGAAAATATGGCACCTTTTGTAGTGTTTTACATGCTGAAATAAAAGGGATTTATAGGGTTTTGCTAGGGAAGCATCTACTTCTTTCTTCCATCGAGCGACGAAAGGATTAGGGAAAAAGAAAAGGAACAATTTTATGGGAACTGGGGGGAGCAGAGACAAACAGTTCACTGGGAAAGAGGTGAGGGTTACTGGAGTGACTTATCAATCACACAGGATTGCAAACACAGGAAAAGGAGCATGTGGGATGTGCTCACCTGATCCTAACATACATTACCCTCTTAACGCTTCAAGAAAAGCAGAGAAACAGAACAAGGGAAATCAGCAATAAAATGTGACCAGGAATCCTTCAAGAATTATTGGATAGCTACAATTTATAATGGTATGGCAGAATTACTGAGTGGTATAACCAGAATAATAGTTTTCACATATATATGTAGTCATTTTTGTATACATATACACACAAGTATTAAGCTAAAATACAATTACTGTGCTACAGATGTTTTTAATCTACATGGCAATTTTAACTGAAGACTCAGAAATCAATGTGCAAAAAAAAAAGCTGGAAGAATTAGAAGAAGAAAAAAGGAAAGAAGAGGAAAAAAGGAGTGAAAAGAATAGTGCTTACAACTAAGCACAAGTGATTTCTCTCTTAAGTAGCAGCCTTAGACTCTTCTGTTTGGACAAGGCCTGCTGGAACAAGCCTGACCTGGATACATCCAGTACTGGCTGTGATGCCAAACAACCTCCTCTTTCACTGATCTTTGTCAAACTATCCCTAATGGCAACAAACCTTCAACTCTATTTGCTCCAGACTTACTTAAAATTAAGGGGGGAATTACGAAATAAAAGGACTGTTGCTGTCACCATCCAACCTGCAACACAGTGACACCCAAAGGTTTCACACCGAGATCAGTGCTGGGGCTTCACATGTTCTACAGCTTCAGGAGTCATCTTCTTCACCCTCCTCATTCTTAGACCATTTTATTTTGCCAAAACTCAGCACTCAGCCTTCTGGAACACTTCTAAACTACACTGGTGACTCTCTGCATCCTTCCACATCTTTATGCTTTCTTGCCAAGAAAAAAACAATCCCTGCCATTCTTGACACCTTACTCAGAGAAATGTTTTATTCAGCTCTTTCCCTTTGCTTTTGTTTTCTTTGGTTAAAAAAAAACCAGTCCAAAATAATTTAGTATCATTTTGTCCCATGGCTAGATAGCGTTTAGTTTCTTCTATTCATACTTCCAGTTCTGCTTGCTCCCATAGGATCTGTCTCCCATTTGATCTGGATTGTTTGGGGGGTTTTTTTGGAGATTTTGTTTTAGCTTTGCAGAATTTAACTCTACAGTATCCTACTTGTGTCACTGTCAAATGAGACCAAGCTATGGTTTTTTTTGGCTGTGCATATAAAAAAGACTAACCCGTTTTTTACGTTGTTTCCGTATCTCACGCCACAAATAGAGAGGATTTGTGACATCTCACACTGAAGTGCTATTTATACAGTCTTTTAAAATTTATATACTATTATAATATACTGTTATAATATACAATTTTAAAAAACAGACCAACAGATACACAGTCTTTTCAAACCAGACCAACAGATACACACAGCAATTAGTCTTTGAGACCAGATTAGAACTAATTTTATAATGGTTGATGCAGAATAAAGATTTGTATGACAGTAGTAAAACTGTTTAGCACTGAGAGATGGCAAGTGCTAAGAGAACAGCATTAAAAGATGTCTTACTATATTCCAGAGTAAGCAGTAATTCTATAAGACAGTTCACGATATCAAGAATTATGTGCTAGCAATGGTGCTGTTCAGCCTGAATTTGCAGACCCTTCCAAAAACCAGGTGATTATTCACATTACAAACCAGCAGAGTCAAGAGAACATATATCAGTGGTCTGGAGTTACTCACCAGGCAGATGAACTCTGAAAAGACATCAGGGGTGGGCTTAAAGCATCTCCTTTTAGAGTGTGCACTGTCTGTGCTGGCTGGGGCTGAGTCTCTGGCTGAGGCTGTGCCTGAGCCTGGCTGGGGTCCTGGGCGGGGTTCAGCCATCGGCTCTGGCCCTGGCTCAGCCACTTGCCCTGGATCCCCCACCGCGCCAGGTACAGCTTGCAAATGTCATAGTTCAGGGAGGAGTAATATAAAAGGTCCAGGATGAGCAGGATCACCACAAAAAAGCCATAGATCCACACTCCCAGCAGGGCGCTGTAGTTGCTGCGAGAGAAGAAACGGGACAACAAAAGGAGTTCTCTCTCTGGAATGGTCACTGGGGGGTTTTATCAAGGGGCTTCTTTTGTTAATTATACAATATATACCATTAATTACTTAATTGAATAGATAAAATTATATATTAGTATATTATTCTACAGCTATATGATATATAATAATAGTAATATATTACATAGTATATATTCATATACTATATATTATTCATATACTATTATACTATTATAATACACGATTATAATATATTATAATATACTATTACATAGGACATATTAATATACTATATATTACTCATATACTATATATTATTCATATATATTATAACATATGATTATAACTTACTACTATTATACAATTATATAGTATTACATAGTATATATTAATATACTATAAATTATTCATATACTATAGATTATAATATACTATAGATTATTATATCTCTATATATTATATATAATTATATATTACTATAGTAATATTACAGTTGTGATTGCTGGGAAATAAATAAGGTACAACAAAAAAGTTATCTCTCAGTCTCTGTGTTATTTTATCCAGGTTGTTTATATTATAATATATAATTATGTAATATATATTATATATTACATTATTATATATTATATGTAATATATGTTACATTATAAATTACATATAAAATTAATTACATAATAGAATATATAATTAATATATATTCTATATTATACATAGCTATATAATCCATAAATACATAAATATTAATATTAAATAGTATCCATAATATACTATATATTATTGTTATTACTCTCTAATATTATTATATCTCTCTATATTATTATATATTAATATAGTAATATTATATCTGTAGTTGCTGGGAAAGAAAAAAGGTACAACAAAAAAGCTATCTCTCAGTCACTGTGTTATTTTATCAAGGTTGTTTAATATATAATATAATACATATTATATATGACACATAAAATTAATTACATAATAGAATATAAATTAATACATATTCTATATTATAAGTAGTTATATAATCTATAAATACATAAATATTAATATTAAATAGTATCCATAATATACCATATGTTATTATTAATCTCTAATACTTTATATTAGAGATTATTATATCTCTATATATTATTATAGGTTAATATAGTAGTATTATATCTGTAGTTGCTGGGAAAGAAGAAAGGGAAGACAAATTATCTCTCAGTCACTGTGTTATTTTATCAATGTTGTTTAATATATAATATTATATATATTATAGTATATATTACATAATTATATAGTATATATAATATATATTATATTATATATTACATATAAAATTAATTACATAATGTATATTCTGTATTATACATAGCTATATTATCTATAAATACATAAATATTAATATTAAATAGTATCCATAATATACTATATATTATTAATCTCTAATATTGTGTATTAGAGATTACTATATCTCTATATATTATTATATATTAATATAGTAGTATTATAGCTGTAGTTGTGAGAAAGAAAAAAGGTACAACAAAAAAAGTTATCTCTCAAAGGTTGTTTAACATATAATATATAATATATATAAAATTAATTACATAATAGAATATATAATTAATATATGTTCTATATTATACATAGCTACATAATCTATAAATGCATAAATATGAATATTAAATAGTATCCATAATATATATTATTAATCTCTAATATTGCATATTGGAGATTATTATATCTATATATTATTTTATATTAATATAGTAATATTATATCTGTAGTTGCTGGGAAAAAAGAAAGGAACAACAAATTATCTCAGTCGCTGTGTTATTTTACCAAGGTTTTTTCATTAATTATATAATATATAAAAATAATTATGTAATATAATACATAACTATATATATTATGTAATCTATATTATTATACATTGTCATAAATATGTAAACATAAATATTAATATATTAAATATTATCTGTTAATATATTATAAAATATATTACATATTTTTATATATTAATATATCTGTTATATATTATCCTATAGTAATATTGTAACATATCATATATATAATTATAGATAACGTATAGAACATAATTATCAATATATAAAATTCTATAACATATAGGTGGAAACATTCACTGCTGACCTGCATCACAAACCATTTCTCTTACCAGATGTTTAATGTGCTTGAATTTGCTTTGGATATAATAATAATTACTACTGGATAAAGAAGATAACAGTAGAAGTGTAGGATTTCAAGAGGGGCTGCTAAAGACCCTCGGTTCCCTGGTAATAAATTTAGGGCTGGAGAACACTGATGAGATCATATTACACACTTCATTTCATAGGAACATATGTACTACACTGAAATGAACACGTTGGTGTAGTTATAAAGTGTATTTTTAGATAAAGGCCACGAAAATTATCAGCTGCTGACATGGAGCTGTAAAGCTCTGACAGGTGATTAAAGATATTAAGAGAAAGGGGGGGAAACAGGAGGAAAAGGTATAAGGGGTCAAGAATTTGGAGATCAAAAAGGGGAAGAATTGCTAAAGCTCTGCTGGAGATGGAGTATTATTAAAAGAAAAGTGACTGTCAGGTGTAAATGCAGTTTGGACTGGAAACTGTGTGTGGGGAGGATGAGGTCAGAAGAGAGGAGGAGAAGTCTGGGTAAGAATGAGCTTGATTTAAAAAAAAAGTACAAAGTATAAAGCAAAAAAAGGCTAATTCAGAGCCATGAGCTGATGTGGAAGTACCTGTACCAGAGACTGTAAAAACAAGAGGAACCTGAAGGGACACCAGTAAAAAATGCCCTTAGGAGGACAGACTTAGAGACAAATTATATCAGAGTAACAGGTGGACAACCCACAATCTCCACGGACCTGAACTCACAGGAATAAAGAGAAACTTCTCCCTACTCAGAGAAACTCCGAGGGAAATGTATTTTATCAGAACATTGATCAAAACACAAGAGGAAAAAAGGCTGAGAATATTATAGATGCAAGCCAGAGATTTTGACATTTTAAAAAACATGTTCCCAGCCTTTTTGGATCAAAACATTTCAAGCCTCTGCTTTAAAAACTTTCACTTCCATTTCAGTGACTTTCACTGTATGCTTTGAAAAAAAAAAAAATAAAAAAAAATCAGGATTTGAAATGAGAAATCAGGTAAGAAATCAGAATTTTAATTTCTGTGTCTGTCAGCACTTAAGGAGGTTGATTCTTCCCTCCAGGGAATGATTTTTCCACTACACAGATGTAACACCTTTAAATAAAGTTCCATAGCAAATGGAATGTAAGTAACAAGAGGAAGGAGCTGTTAATGGATCCCTTCCTGTCTAACTTTAGGACCATACAAGACTAGAATTAAAAAAAAAATTAAAAAAAAAATTAAAGCATTAAAATATAAGAATTAAAAAAAAGGCAGTAAATTTCCAGGAGGATTGGAAGGAGACAAAATATAAAGCTTCTGAAAACCCTTAAGTCCAAAGTCTTTGCCTCTGCTGCATTTGATCCATAGTAAGAATGGAAATACTAGAAAACTTTTGTTTTGGTTTTTTTTCTTGGCAACAATTCGAGAGGCAGGAACATTTCTTAACTCAAAATGATTTTTTTGGTGTGTTTTAGGTATTTAATTTCAACCATCAAAATTTTGATTAGTGAGAAATCAGAGGCATTTTGAGTGTTCTGATTTAAAGTGACAATTCATTAATCATATTCATCTGCTCCTCCTAAATAACATCTGTTTCTCACAAGCCCAAAAGTGAAAGGCTGCTTTATTTTAAATAACAGACAGTGGGACAACAGCACTATCAAAAGGGCCTTGTGAAAAATCACAGGCAAAAATAGTAAGCAGTAGGTTTAAGTACACAGAGGGAAATTCCATTCCTTGATGTTTTTTTCTGTTTCTCAAACCATTAACATGTAGAAAATGTTAATTTTGCTGATGGCTACTAATTATAGTAAAAACTGAAACTGTCCTGCAAATGAAGATGTCTTAATTAGAAAATAAACAACGTTATTGAGAATAACAGTACTACCAGATACACAGAAGAGAAAAAACAGGGTAATTCGTGGACCCATCAGAAAAGCTTAGGGGCTCATTATTTTAAGTCCCCTTTTCTAGAAATAGGATGATATACAGAATATACATGGACTAAGCTCGATACAGAGCCCACTTGTGCAAATGGAAAGATCTGCTCTGACTTCAGGGAGCCTTGAACTGGGCTCTCTGAGAACAAGAAATACTTTTGCCATCCCTCTCCTCCTATTCCATCTACAGAATCCTGCATGGAGTTCTCTAAAATCCCTACACACAAATAAAAACACAGGTCCTTTGATTACTATTTTTAGCTATATGATTCCTTCCATCTAATAATTCACTTTTTGAGGCGGATGACGAGCTGGTTATGACCAGGCTCTGTCTTTTTAGTAGATTTTGTTGGGTTTTATGTGCAGCACGTTAGCAGAGAATAATTCACGTGGGAATTCAGGTTTGAAAACCAAACCAACAAATCAAAACAACTGTGAGCTGAATTCTACAGCTGCAGAATTTAAATGTGGGCAGATGGGCATGGAAAGGGTTCCTTTCCCTGTTCCCCTTAAATGAGGCTGTTGCTCCCAGTAGTAACAGTGAGTGTTGCCCCAAAGAAACCCAAGTTTATATCTTACCAAACACCTTTGTACTTCTAGCATTGAGGAAACCAGGGTGGGTTTTGCATGTACACTTTAAATGTGATTTTTCCCCCCTTTTTTTCTGGACTAAAAGATAAGGGAAAACCAAGGATACATTACATACTTCCATAACACAGTTCCAGTATCAGATTAAGGACCCCTAGAACAGTAGTACTACTGATAATCCACCAAAACATCCATGATAGAAAATCTGAGAGACTGTGAAAAACCAGATTAAAGTGAATATGTTTTTAAGAACAGTTAAACAACTCCTTAGACAGTTTTAAGGCATCACAGAACTTTTCTTGTCTGTTAGACATCATTTGTATTTCTGTATTTAATACTGAGAGAATTGTTCACATTAAAAGTATTATAAACAGATTAATCTGCACGATGGCAAAGACTTAGAAAACACAGAAATCTTTTGTTATAGTAATGGGAAACTGTAAATAAATGTGGCTTTAGTTGTATTGTGTGACTGCAGAAGACAAACACATCTTTTCAGCTGTGCCACGACAAATCACTTCACTAATTTCTTCCCTCAACTGTATTATAAAACAAGAAATTTGTTTTGATGATCACAAGAATGGCTAAGGGGAAAAATAAACCAAATAATAATATTGAAATAAACCAAGCAACAATATTGAATCACTCTTCCCTGCAAACTATAATCCTTTTTTTTTTTTTTTTCAGTTCAGTGCTATTCCCATATCCCAAATTATTCTCCCCTGCTACAGTACAATAGGTTTCATCAGGATTTTTTTTCAGTGGTGTGTGAAATTAGATCTAAACAAGAGCTGACTTTGTCACTGTAAACCAAACCCTAGATGTATTAGAATCCAAATAAAGTTTAGTTGTTGCACTTGTTAAATAAAGTCAGAGTGTATTAAGTAAGAAGCTTCTTGCAGTGTTTTTAATGCAGGCCTGTAGGATTCACTCCTTTCTGCTCCTCCTAAAATTACCAGGAAGTTTTCTACCCACACCACTGAGCTCAGGGTCTCACTACAGTGGTGAAGTTTTACGTAGGAAGAAGCAGCTCTTCATTTTCCTGGTCCTGACAGATTTATCAGAAATGAGGTTTCAGGGATTTACACAAGGGCAATACCGGTTTCACTCTTGCACTTGTCTAAGCTACATCTCCAGAAGCTTTTTATCGCATTTAACATGATTTCATCTGCCTTTGTGAAAGATCACACGGAGCTAAAAGTCCCCAGGAAACTCTGGACTGAAGACTTTTAGGGTAAATATTCTGCAGGTGGTTCTCAACCATGAATCTTACAAAAAAAAATAATACAGAGGTACCTTTCTCCATCTCAACTGAGTAAGATAAGTTGGGGGGTTTTTTTGTGTGGGTTTTTTTTAAATCTAAATGAAAACTAATATAAAACACTATGCCCTCCACACTACAGGTTGCTGGTGGAAGGCAGAGCAGAAGAGCCTTACCTTAGTAAGCTCTGCCCATGAGGAGCTGCTGGGATATTGGGAAAAGCCTGAAGTACTGCCTTTCCACTTGCCTGGGCTGCACTTGGGCACTAACACCCCGAGCTCTGAGATGATTGAGGCTCTTTTTATCACCCTGAGCATGCAGCAGGTTTTGGCTCTGTCTGCCACTACGTGGTTTTTAAGGATGATAATGGTTTGCTGACTCCAAACTGGGCTGATCTGCACACAGGGAGTTCCAACTCCTGTTGTTACATCAGTATTCCAACACCACAGTCTCCCAGGAGCCCTGCACCTGCTTCCACAGGAAGGAATGACAATGCACAGACTGACTTTTGCACTGCAGAAGAAAACACCAAAATCCCTGTTGTAAACAAAAAATCCCCAGCCTGGCATTCCAGTTGTCTTTAATCTGCCCCTTCCTTGCCCTGGAGGAGCTGAACACCAGAGTAAAATGGCAGGGGAAAAGCAGATAAAGGAGAATTCGACCTGGGGGTTTACACCACATCACAGCTGCCCTCTGCACCAAAAGAAATCACAGCAGATTAGCTTGGCCTGAATGTCAAATACCAAACAGGGAACAGACCACAAGTGAAGGTTTTGTCCCTGTAAATACCTAATCAGTACCAGAGACCTACTTTCTACTTACCAGTTCTTCAGGAAAGAAGAGTGCTGACATTTATCTTGGAGGACAGCCCCCAGCAGCACATGGAAGTATCCCAGGTAACAGGCAGGGAGACCACACAACGCTGGTATATAAGCAAATACATTCTGTTCCCCAAGGTCAGCGATTTGTTACAAGGGATTTATACTCAAAACATCACAGATTCAAAATAGTGCACTTGGGCTGATATGGAAAATGTCAACTCACTCCCTCTCTCTCCCCTACGAACAGCTTTGGGGTTTATTTTTACTGATGTACATTTAAACATAGTTCAGATCAAATTAGGGTCAGGGAAGAGACTTTGGTAACTTTTAGAGGTAACATTATATCTGTTACATTTATATGCAACTTTTACATATATGCTCTCCTTGCAATGTTTACAGCCCACGTCAAAGCAAGGCAGGCAAAGCTGAAATATCCTTTCTTTCAAGGAAGCAAAAACCTTTTAGTAATGTTTTTCTGTATATTCAATTGCTCTGATTGCTCCCATCATTAAATGCACCTGAGACCACGTGATTAGACCAGGAGCAGTTTGGTGAGGAGAACTGTAAAACTCATGTACTTACTTATGCATGTATCCATCTGCACTCCCCGTTAAGTTCATCTGCATGACAGTTTGGAATTCTGTCTCATTGCAGCAGTATTTAAACACTGTGTTGTTATGGTGACAGCAGAAGATGTAGGATTTATTGTCAGAGAGCCGGGGGCAGTGGAACCCAAAGTGGTAGCGACCTTTGTAGTCCGTGTAGGGCTCGCAGACCCGAAAATGTGCAGACAACACTGGAAAACCAAGAACAACATCGGCCCTGTGAGTCACTCGTGTCAGCTGTGTGGTATCAATAACAGTTTTTCAGGCTTAAACAGCTGGGTTTTGATTTCTGAAAAACATTAATACCTCAGAGCTTTCGGCATCGTAACACTTAGTACGTAAAGACCACAGTATTTAGGGTCTTATTGTATTTTGAATCTGATTGTTTAAGGGAAGAGGAGAAGTGCCCTCCGTGCTTAGAGGCACAAAAATATTTAGGGAAACATTTTCATTTTGCTGTTCTAAATATAGGGATACCCATAACACTCCATGTCTGATTCTCCTGGGATGACTTAATAAAAACAAAAGGTCTATAAAGAAACTGCAATACAAGTTTGCTGGCACTTGGTTTACAGTCACCAGTCCTGACAGAAAACATCTTCTCTATTGTAAAGGTCATTCTTTGATAAGGATTAGTCTGTCAGAAACAGTAATTAGGAACAGCATAACAAATCCGAACAACTCTCAATTTGCAAAGAGACAGAAGTAATAATAATACCTTTAAAATACTATAATACCTGTAAAATACTAATAATACCTTCATAGGTGTTCCTGAGAGTTCTTACATTTCTCCTTTAATAAGTTCTCAATTAAAGAGTTTATTACAGCTCTGAGAACACTTTTTTTACAGTAGTGTGTCACACTGATTTCACCATCACTTTTACTGATGGGGGGGGAAAACCTCTCCATACATTTCTTTTCCAAAATGTAGTTCCATAAGCAACCACATGAGACCTCCTGGTTGATGTGAAGAGTCTTTCAAGAGACAATATTTGGTTCCACGTTATGCCAACATTTTAACTCATTCACAATTTACCATACACACACCCCAAAGGGTTAAACTCTGAGGAAATGTGGAAGTCTCTTAGCAGTGAAATGCTTTTACCCTGAGTAGAGAGCAGAGTCCCAGCCCTGCTGTGGGCAGTGCAGTTCATAAGGTCACACCAATTAGCAAAAGAGATTCCCTTCAGACTGACAGAATTAACCCTTGTCATTTGGTGTATGATTTATCCATCAGTTTTACCAGCACCAGAGGTTACAGATAATGACTTGCATGGATTTAGCTTAACTGTGCTGTATCCCACAGTCCCTGTTGATCTGTAATTGCATCTTATCTGCCTAATCCTCATTTCTTCTTATATTGTTTTAAAAAATTCCTAATGCTTCTGTTTCTCAAATTTATAAAATATATTAATTTCAAGATACATTTTAAGTCATCTCATACTGGAGATGACTTTTTTATTTCTGTGTATAGGGGGGAGCCTAGAACAAAAAGCTAAACTGAAACAAGGTAACTTGTAGTGCCATCTGAGTCAAAAAGCATCCCCTTTAAGCATTTAATATTTATACATATATGTGTGTGTGTGCACACATACCTGGCATCATCCAACAAAAGAAGAAACAGTTTGTAGATTAATTCAGTCAGGAACTGACAGTGCTGTTTCTAAAGGAACACAGATGTTGAGAAAAGTAATTACATATTTTGCCCTGCCTGGGAAAATGTTGTGTTCCAGATGAAATTGGCCTCTGGTCCTGTCACTGGGTTTCACCACTCAGAAGTTTTGCTTGCTCTTCACTGCAAAGTGTTTTGCTTAAGAGCACAGTGTGGAAGTATCCCCTGATCCTAAGTGGTTCCTTTGCCCATTTAAAAAGGAAAACAAACTTCCCTGGGAATAAAAACTGAGGGAAGTGTGATTACAGACTGAAGGGAGAATTAAGATAACGTCAGGTCACAGGAGGAGGGGTGTCTGTAATAAGATGCAGTCCTAGGCACATCCTTAAATAGTAAAATGTGTGTCAGTGATTAAAATAAATGCACAAATAAGAGCGTAATGTGATGATTAAATTACATTCTGAACTCGGGAGTCAGTGTGTGGTGGATTAACCCTGGTAGGCAGCTGCTTGTCACTCCCCCTCTCCCTGTGAGGGAATCAGAAAGTGAGAAAACTCATGGGTCGTTTAACAAATGAGTAAGAAAAAACCCCACAGCAGCATCAGCAAGTACCTGGTGCACACTGAAAGAACTTTACCAACTTCTTGTAATCTGTGTAAATTCACCTGCTGTCTTTGCTTCTCTGTGAATCAGAAAGCCAATAAACGACGTGTGATTTTTTTTTAAGTATTTTTCCTGAAAATAACTTTGCTTAAATCCTGAGGATTAAAGAACCTTATTTCTATAAAATACTTCAGCTAAAAGTATTGTACCTGAAAGGCTCTTAAATTGTCTGTTTCTGGAGTTCTCCTGTGCAAATACTGTTTTTAAGAACTATTATTGAACAGGTAACTGATATGGATGCTCCTATCTCTGTTCCTACTGATTTCCAGAGGATAGTCTGTCATGCTTCAAAGATTTTAGCTCATCTTAAGATTTATCTGCTCTGCCTTAAAGGTACACAGCCAGAATACAACAAACTGCTGCTTCCCTCTCTGTTCACAGTTACAGATCTGGGCAACACTGATCACATTTTAAATTTAGCCACTAAATTTTTCAAGCCCTGAGACTTTGAGAAGGGCTGGTCTTTCTAAGCTTTCCACTTGGATCCACAGAAATATTCCTGTGTGTGCATTTTACCACATGTTAATTTGCTGGGTGGACGTTCATTTCCAACTTCAAAATAAAAATAACCTGTCAGTCTTTGGCTTGTTCCTGTAAGCCTTGCTGTCCTCCCTGATTTCATAAATGTGTTTCAGTGCATTAAATGACTAAGTATTAACATTGTTCAGGGGGCTTTTCTGTCACTTGTGCCCTTACTTCTGTTCCACTCGTGGAGCCAGTGAAAGTTATGCTTCTAATTGCTAAGTGGGGTTTTCAGCCATTCCTACAGATTTCAGTGTGAATCTTGGGATACCAAACACTTGGATTTACAGTCTGTTAATCTGGGGAACTCAAATGGAGCCTTGCCATTCGATTTTCACTTCAGCTCAGGTTAAAAATGACATTCATATCGCTCCAGTGAGAGCAGCATCCTTTTTTAACCCCTGCCATTCTCACTGCACAAAGCCAGTGGTTTTCTTTTATGGAAGCTGATCTGTCTTGGGCAAAAAAAAACCCCCAAATTGCACTGGCTGGCTGCAAAATGATAATAAATTTCCTCCTGTAAAACGTGTGTGAGTTAGCAATGACCTAAACCCATCCCTACAGATGTCAGCAGCAAAATTCCCCAAGGAGCAGAGTTTGGCTGCCATGAAAGGCTTGTGATGATTTCAAATTAAGCCTCTACTCTACATGCTCATAATGGATGTCAGATAATAAAACACAGCCAAGGAGCAACAGGAAGATACACATTTAGAAAGCCAATAGTTATCAAAGTTAATAGATAACTTACGTAAGAAAAGCTATATGTAATTTGTTTCAAATAAACATATTGAATGCAATATGTTATTACCCAGAGGCAATACTTTTCTTCTAAGGGGAAAAAAATATATCAGAACACTGGCTTTATTGTCTGGGTTTGAGGGAATAAAGGTGTATTATACCAGGGGCTAAATACATCTGTTTGCACACATGGTGTTATCACAGTGTCCCATTCAACCTCAACACAGGTAAATAGAACACAGGTAAATATTTGTATCACCTTGAGGAAAGGGGCTGGAGAAGTGGGATGTCAGGATGTCTCTATCAGAAGTCCCCTATAAAGAGTGGCAAAGGTATGAAAACTTAAAAATCAACAGAGGAGACTGGAGCAGCTGGCAAAGTTTTGTGACGTTTGATCACCTCACTGAAGTGTTCTTTGTAATTGACTTCATTCAGGCACCACAGAAACACATTCTTGAGATTATTTTAGCCTAGAAAACAACAAAGAAGCTGCTACAACCCCTGTGCCCGATCCCAGTCCACAGGAGGAGGAGGGCAGACACAGAACTAGGGATGCAGCCCCATACAAAGGGATTTTCACTGCAAGGACTGAAGGAGAACAATGTTTTCAGATGAGAAGTAGTGTGGTTGATAATATTCTAACATTTTTAGCAAAAGGACTGTGTCATTTACAGCTAAATAACAAACTATCATTAGCAAGAATCAACTTGGACACTGCAAACAAGCAGTGGGCAACAAAATGCTTGAGCTAACTGATAATAAAGTCCTTACACAGACAGAGCAGGAACAATTTTCAGTGAACACAAGGATACTTCAATGCACATGATGCCTGGTAAAGTTTTAAGTATGGTGGTCAGGGATGGGATGTAGTATAAGGGGAAAAAGAGCAGTGATAGAAAAAAAAATCCCTTTGGATTAAAAACTGCTTCAAGAATGGAGGATATAAGACATTGAACTGCAAGTTAAAAACCTGTAGGATCAAATCTATTTGGACTAAGAAGCTTTTTTATTATTTTTTTAATATTACTTCATAGTTACAGAAACCCTTAATGTCATAAATAACTTCTGAAGAACAAATGCAACAAATAACCAGAGCACTTGACTCATTCTCAAGCTAAAAGCTGACACATTTCTGCACAAATCCATTCTGTGGCTTATTTATTATTTAATTAGCAATCCATCTGATCCTGTTTTGCAGGAAGTCCATATTAATTTGCAACTATTTTTTTCCCTGTGGCACACACCAGTAAAAGAGAAAGTTACCTGCTGACAAGAGTAAGGAGAGCAGAACCATCAGCACATTCAGGGACTGTTGACCACAACTTGTCATCGTTGGCTTTCATTGGTCCATTAGAAAATTACCTGTTTGACAAGATGCAAAAATCACATTTAAGTGTCTGCTTCATCTCCTTTTCATGGTTCAAACTTTTACTTCCCCACAAAGCTTTGGTAAAATGAGATGGTTTTGCACAGTAAGAAAAAAAAATAACACCCATATAATTTTTCTGGACTTAGAAGTGAAATAAATTCTCCTTTGTATGATTTCATTAAAATTCCTTTCTCATTTCACCACGAATATAAACAACTGTTTACTTCCTTTCCATTAACCCAGAGTGGAGATGGATCACACAAAGCCTTTATTGGATATTCACACCTCCCCTGTAATCTGCACTCAGCAAAAGTGTGCTGCTTTCCCTGTCACAGGAATGGGCTGTTGTATGAAGCCTCTAAGGACCAGAAACACATAAACAATACAAAAATAAATTGGCTGCTCTGAAAGCCAATCTGTTTTACCCCATTAGAGGGTGCAGTCGCTCAGAAAGTGGGTCAAGCAACTGAGATGGTTGGAAACACTTAAAAAGAAAAAAAAGTCTTTTCATTAGAATCACAGCATTTCATGGGATTGTTATTTCTTATTTTTTTTTCCTAGAAAGCAGGGTGAGAAGTGGTCTGGTTTGGCTGGCAAAAATCCTAATATCCTAAAAAGGATCCTCACAGCTGGGTGAGGCCAAACACATCTTGTTCCACATTAATTCAGCATCACCTGCTGCACATTCAACAGCTCCAACAGAGACTCTGCCCCAAAGTAAGTGCTCTCACCAACATGGGAAGGATTGAGTGGTGCCCAATCCTGTTGTCACAACCCTGGATGTATGAACTCTTCATCCTGACCTCACACTGACATTAATAAATAGGTAATTCATAAACAGAATAAACAGGTGATTAATAACATAAATAAAATTAATAACACAACATAAAATAAAGAGGTAATTTATTGGTTTGTACAAGAACACTGGGAGCTTGGGCTACAGACCTAAAATAAAATATAATTTTAGTTATATTATTAATCCCCTATTTATTTCAGTTATATTATTAATCCCCTATTTATTTGTTCTATTATTTGTTATTATATTATTAATCCCCTATTACTCAACAGTAAGACAGGTTGTCCTGAGGACAGCTGGCTTCTGGAGCTTGTAGAAAGAGACAAGAATCTGAACAGCCCCCTGTAATCCAGAAGGAAACAGTCAGTGACCTACTGAGCTGCTTGGATCCCCACAAGTCTATGGGACCAGAGGGGATCCACCCAAGGGTGATGAGGAGCTGGTGGAAGAGCTCTCCAAGCCTCTCTCCATCATCTACCAGCAGCCCTGGCTCACTGGGGAGGGCCCAGATGATTGGAGGTTGGCGAATGTCACACCCATCCACAGAAAGGGCTGCAAGGAGGACCCGGGAAACTCCAGGCCTGTCAGCCTGACCTCGGTGCCTGGCAGGGTTCTGGAGCAGATCATCCTGGGTGCAATCACACAGCACCTGCAGGATGGACACGGGATCAGACCCAGCCAGCACGGGTTTAGGAGGGGCAGGTCCTGTCTGACCAACCTGATCTCCTTTTATGACCAGGTGACCCACCCGGTGGATGAGGGGAAGGCTGTGGATGTGTCTGTCTGGACTTCAGCACAGCCTTGGACACCATCTCCCACGGCATTCTCCTGGAAAAGCCGCAGCCATGGCTTGGACAGGAACACCCTGTGCTGGGTCAGGGACTGGCTGAGGGCCGGGCCCAGAGAGTGCTGGGGATGGAGCTGCATCCAGCTGGGATCTGTCACCAGTGGTGTCCCCAGGGATCAGTGCTGGGCCCAGTCCTGTTTAATATCTATTGATGATTTAGATGAGGGGATTGAGTCCACCATCAGCAAATTTGGAGATGACACCAAGCTGGGGGGGAGTGTGGATCAGCTGGAGGGCAGGAGGGCTCTGCAGAGGGACCTGCCCAGGCTGGATCCATGGGCTGATTCCAATGGGATGAGGTTCAAGCAGGCCAAGGGCCGGGTCCTGCCCTTTGGCCACAACAACCCCCGGCAGCTCCAGGCTGGGACAGAGGGGCTGGAGAGCAGCCAGGCAGGAAGGGAGCTGGGAGTGGGGATGGACAGGGAGCTGAACAGGAGCCAGAGTGTGCCCAGGGGGGCAAGAAGGCCAATGGATCCTGGCCTGGCTCAGGAACAGGGTGGCCAACAGGGCCATGGAAGTGATTCTGCCCCTGGACTCAGCGCTGGGGAGGCCACCCCTGGAGTGCTGTGTCCAGTTCTGGGCCCTCAGCTCAGGAAGGACATGGAGGGGCTGGAGCAGGGCCAGGGAAGGGCAACGAGGCTGGGGAAGGGACTGGAGCACAAGTGCTGTGAGGAGAGGCTGAGGGAGCTGGGGGGGCTCAGCCTGGAGAAGAGGAGGCTCAGGGGAGACCTCCTCACTCTCTGCAACTCCCTGCCAGGAGGGGGGAGCCGGGGGGGGTTGGTCTCTTTTCCCAGGCAACCATCAGCAAGACAAGAGGGCTGGGTCTGCAGCTGTGCCAGGGGAGGGTTAGGTTGGAGATTAGGAAGAATTTCTTTCCAGAGAGGGTGCTCAGCCATTGGAATGGGCTGCCCAGGGAAGGGGTGGATTCTCCATCCCTGGAGGTCTTTAAGATGAGACTGGATGTGGCATCAGTGCCATGGGCTGGGAACCACAGCGGGGTTGGATCAAGGGTTGGACTTGATGATCTCGGAGGTCCCTTCCAACCCAGCTGATTCTGTGATTCAATGATTCTATTTATTTCAGTTATATTATTAATCCCCTATTTATTTCAGTTATATTATTAATCCCCTATTTATTTCAGTTATATTATTAATCCCCTATTTATTTCAGTTATAAATAGGTGATTAACGATATAAATAAAATTAAAAATCAAATCTAAAATAAAGAGGTAATTTATTGGTTTGGACACTGGGAGACTGGGCTACACACCAGGTGGTGCTACTGCAAGGTGGTGTGGTGAGTCTCATTTTTGGGTTGTTAACATCATTCTAAGGTATTTAGAAAAAAAAAAAAAAGGAAGGAAAATGGCAATTTATGTAAAAAATTCCACTGTTTCTGACAGCTCAAGAGACACATTTTGCTGACTGTTTATGAAATAAGTGCTGGATTATATAAATATGTAGTTTACTAGTAGGGGTCTACTAAAATCTACTGAATCAGATTAAAACACCAAGACAATTGCACCTGACGTAACAAAAGGGGAGGGGGGTGAAAATTAATGTATCAGGAGTAACTAAATCCTGAGTACCACAGATGGATAATGGAGGGGAGACACAGAGCTGGGTGCAAAGTGCTGAGAGGCCAAAGATTTCTCCCACAAAATGCCGTGTGTGGCACAAGCAAATCCACTAAAAAGTCATCTTGGCATGTGAAAAACAGAGCACAGACCTAAAAACTTTTGTACAAGAAAACGTGATAGTTTACACTGTTATCTGCAAGCCAAACCACTGCATTGTAACCTTAAAGTAAGTTTTCAAGGGAAAAAAAGTTAGAAACCATAACACTGTGAGGAGAATATAAAAGTGCAATGAACTGTGAATGCTAATTAAAAATACTCATCAGTACTGTTTGAAAAAAGCTGCCACCTTTTTTTCAGAAGGAATATCATATTAATTAAAACACTGAGCAGACCTAAAGTTGGAATTGCATTAAAAAAAAAAAAAAAAAACTGAATATAAGCCAGAGGTTGAGAATGTAGGAGTTTGACCAAGAAAAACAGCTACAGAGAACATGCTACAGAGAACATGTAGGAATAAAAGGGTAGGATATTTTCCTGAGTGAACCAAAGCTGCAGGAATTCTGGTAGTGATTCATTACTAAGGCAAATCTTGGCTTTTGTAGCAGTTAATTAAAAAGAGATCAATAAGCACTCCTGTTGTGTATCTGGGAAGACAAAGATGTTTGGTATAGCTGAGACTATTAAACATTTCCAGATCAAGAGTAATTTAGGATGACATTAATGAGTTGACACTAAGGTTCCTAATTTGATATTTGCAAATCCGTGTAATTTGTATCCAGTTATTTCAGCAGAGCTGGATGGGGAACATGGAAATCACTTTTTCAATTTTTTGGGAAACAAGGGCAGCTGTCAGAGAACCTGAAGAAACTTAAGAACCTTTTTAGAAGTAAATGAGATAATCCAGGTAAATTACAAGCATGATGTGGATCTAGAGAAATGTAATGGAATGGTTAATACAGAATCCAATTAATAAATAGTTAAGGAGAGTAATATAATTAATATGTATCACTCTGGCCTTATGGTAAAGTTAACTTATTTCTCTCTGGGTTGTTGATTAAAGTAGATTAAAGATAATTATAGTATAGTAGATGTCTGTAAAATATCTCACTTAGTAGCATGAATTTGAGCAGGCAGTGAGAATGAGGAAAAAAACCACATCAGTTATGGAAGACTAACTCAGATTGGAAATCAGATGCACATTTTTTGGAAGGCACAATCTTGTTAGTAATTGAGTACATCCAGCCTTACTGGCAATTTCTTAATCAGTGCTGTAGGTAGAAATCTAGAAGGGAAAAATTTATTTCAATTACGTCCAACAGAACTGGCAACGATGGAATTGGCATTTTAATCCAAAATCATGGGATGCTTGTGTTTGCTGTCAGCTGGGAAATCAGAGGGAGGGACTAGAACCAGAGAGACCTGCACACCAGTGGCCAGGAGAATCTGTGTAAATAAATGCATGTACACATCTATCCATATTTGTGACAGCAGGGAAACGCTCCAGTTTTAGAACTGCTGTTTCAGTGATCATTACACTGAATAGGAGCATTTTTGGGAGGGTAAAATATAACTGACAGTTCACTTGTTGACTGTTCTGAGGGTTTTTTTACATGCTGCTGTCTGGCTGAAGCAGTCATGTTTTGTGCAGTACCAGGAGGATGTCTCTGAGCTGTCAGAGCTGGAAGAGACGGGCAGGAGAACTGGTGACATGGTAAAAGGAAAAGCCTAAGTCACACAAAGCATTTCCTGATGTTAGGCCATGGAATAGAGA